TCAATACAAAAAGACTATGGTGTCTTATGCTAAGAAAAAGAAAGAGGAGAAAAGCATAAAAAGCCTAAGGTAAGAATTTCTACATTGTAGGGGTAGTTGATAGTAATATTCAAGGGGTTATAGTTTATTACAATTCTTTGAAAACTGTTATGTGTTTTTACAATGTGGAAAATAGAATAACGTCCATTTTAACAATTCTTTGGAGACTATTTTGTACTGTTATATTTGGTTTTCTCTCATCAATGATTATTAATATTATAAATTTATTAGGTAGCACATTTATCAAGATACAATTTTTTTTTACTTATTTTTTTGTAATTTGTTACAGAAAAAAAGAATAAGCACAATGCCGGTGAAGATTTTTTTTGAAACTATATCTAATTTTAAAGAAGACCAGATTTCTGCTGTTTGGGATATAGGTTTTGGATATCTTCTTGAGTTGAAGTGTACTCACTTGAACAAATATCTTTTTCAGTACCTGATAGAAAATTTTGATGAGCGCAGATGCGGTTTGAGACTTTCTGATAAACTCATTCCGATAACAACGACAGATGTCGAGCACATTTTTGGGATACCCAATGGTCACTTAGTAATGGTGAACTCAGAAGAAGACAATGGTATAACCAACTGGAGTTGGGTGAAAGAAGGTGGTTTCATGAAGGAAAAAAAAAAAAAAAAGAGTTTGAAGGTTGCCAAAATTGGTGAGATGCTTCGAAATGGGGGTGATCGACGCATTGATGATGATTTTAAGCGACTTTTTGTACTGTATTCATATGGATGCATATTGTTTCCAAACACTGCTCATGAGGTGTCGAAATATTTTTTTGGAATGGTTGATGATGTGAAGAAGATCAACCAATACAATTGGGCAAAATATGTGCTTAATGATTTGGTAAAAAGGGTTAATAAATTAAAGACATATAAAAAAAGCAGTTGCAATGGTAATCTACTTTTTTTAAAAGTATGCATGACCCAAATGTATTAAAATTTAATTTAAACTATCGGTTGTATCAATTTATAAGTGGCCTGTCAACGTACATGCAGTTGCGTGTCGATGTCAATTGTCCAAAACCGAACAAGTACCTTAATGTTGCTAGTGATTGGCCTGAACCATTAATTAAGGAGTGCCTAGAATATGAAATATCTGAATTAGGGCAATTTGGACTCGGAAAGGTAACCTCAAGTTTTTATTCCATTCACAAATGTTTCAAATTGTGCTAAATTGTATATTTAATTGCATTATTTCATATTGTCAATATTGATGCCCATTGCCAGCCTTGAACGAGTATTCATCATTACGTTGCACCCGTTTTTGCCTTCTCATTTCTTTAAGAAGCTTAAGCAAATGTTTCCCATGGATAATGGATAAATTAAAAAATCTTCACCCTCTGATGCAAATGAACTAACGCGAGTGAATAAATAACATATGTCTCTATATCTTTGTCGTTGTTGCAATTTAGGATCCGTTTGCACTTCACGGCTAATGAAATCCAACACTGCCCCATTTCTTGCCTCTCGTGTCCACCATTTCAGTTCGTATTTCTTAGGTAATTTAGTTTTGTGTAGCACTTTTCTCATGACCTTTAACATGTGTGAACACGGAATACCATCCATTTCCAACATCCAACAACTGCATGTTAAAAAGTCATATGTTTTCCTTCTTACACGCCATTTTTTATTATGTTTTTCAAGCGAGACCACTTTGTATATAACTTCTCCATCCTGCTGAATTGATTCTTTGAAATAGAATTCAACTGTACCTTGAATTTCTTTTTGAAATAACTGAAATATTTTTTTCATATAAATTTCATCAGCTTTGACTACCATCGTGCACGAAAGTTTAACATTCGGTTCTTGCTGAGTAAAATCGTACTCTGCCTTTAGCTCAATATACCTTTTCTCAGTGACCATCCTATCAAAGTGTTTGAAAAAATCAGGAATATTACGGTTAGATTTAGCGAATTTTTTCAATCCGAAATTAAAGTTTTCACTAAGTTGAGTGCTATGCATACCAGCACATTAATGATTTTTCACAAATGCCTTTGCCCATTTGGTCCTTAAATTATATGTTTCAGATAACCATTTGTTGTTACAAACACCACACTCGGTTAGCATGCACTCCTAACATATTTCTAAATCATCTTCGTCGTCGTATTCTTTCATAAATTCAGATAAAATGCCTATTATACCCACCGAACCCTTGATAACATTACCTAAATGCTTCATACCATTTTGCATAATATGCCATATACAAAGATGGTGGTGTGTCTCAGGCAGCACCAATGTTAATGCCTTTGTTTTCATCTTGGTTACTTATAATTGTCTTCGAAAATTTATGAGACATTGCCTTAAAAAATGTTTCAAACAACCATACAAATGAATCAGATGTCTTATCATACATCAAAGCATCTCCAAATATAACTGTTTCTCTGTGATGATTCAACCCAACAAAAGCGGCAAATGGTCGATTCACATTATTCACCTTGTATGTTGTGTCAAACGACACAATATCTCTAAAATGACCCTAATCAATAATCATCCTTGCATCAACCCAAAATATATTGATTATAAAGTCATCTTTGTCCAACTGAACCGCATGAAAAAATGAGGAATTTTCCAACATCTGGGATTGAAAATACTCAAATATGGATCCATCCTCTCCAGATTGTAATTGTTTTTGTCTCTTGGTTCTCAAATAATTTTTTTCGTCTACTTTTGTAAACCTAAGCACTTCTCTTGCCCTGGATTGTCGTCCCATTAGTTCATATGAAAAACCAACTGGTAGTCCAGAATCATCAGCCAAGTCGACGTCAATTGCTTGAGGTATAGAGATGTTCCGTTGTGAAGGCATTAAATAAGTGTTACCTTTTCTAATAAGTTTATAGTTGTGCTTCTCTTCAAATCTGTTTACGAAATATATTCCTTCCCCCCTTTCAAATTTTATATGCATAAATGCACCACATCCGACCCTTGTTTCTGCCTTAGCTTCATTTGTAAGATGGTCCCTTTTGTCATTTACTCTATAACCCTCCTTGCAACATACAAATTGGGTAGAAGTAATTTATCCGGTTTTAATGTTTTTATTGGAATGGACTATCCATTTAAAACCACTACCTATAATAAGATAACAAATTGTCTTAGAGAATGCATGAACCCTTTTGTTTATATGTCTATTTGTTTGTGTGTCTGTTTATTGTTTACATAAACACACATATGTGAAGAAATCTTAGACTTTCATTACACTATCCCAAGCAGAATACAACAAAGGGGGTAGACGGTAGACCACCTCCACTCCTTTCCCCAAGACACCCCATCCCACAAACAAAAAGGCAATAACAATAAAGAGAGAACTAAAATAGAAAAGAAAAACCCCAACAACCAATAGATGGGGAGGGGAAAATGATGATAAGGTTTATACAGAAGAACCGAGTTTTCTTTCAAAAACAGCATGAAAATTAAAAAGAAAAAATCAGCATACAAAATTTATATGTTGAATTTCTGATGCTAAATGATTTGCAAACAATTTTGAACAAGAACGTAAGCTAATAAAAACAGACATTTAAGTAAATTCAACTTCGATTTCAAACAAACTATCAAGTTAAATAAAGTGTTTACAAATCAATGAGACATGAAAAATGGATTAAAAAAAAAAAAAAATGATAAGAACTATCTTATCTTTAAAGTTCAAATCATGACATTCAAATCCTAAAACCATTAGGATACCAAAACTTTGTTTCAATTCAAAGTTCTTTCAGGTCACAATTAATACCACAATAAAAAAATTCCCTTATGTTCTCAAATGATACGATACAATTACAACTTTTAAATGCTAGCTAAAAATTTAAATAACTTACCTATCCTTGACTATATTGTTAGCCACAATCAAACATTGAATTCTTTCCAGCTACATAACCCCACTTCTTCAACTACCTTTTGCTTATACTGTTCAATCTGCCTAAGTCATAGTGTATTCATAGGGGGTGTAGGTGAATGGATCTAAGAAGAACCCAAATTTTGGTTTCCTATCCTTCTCTTCTACCTTCTCGACAAAAAAAAAAAAAAGATTTATACGGAAGAACCGAATTTTCTTTCCAAAATAGCGTGAAAATTAAAAAAGGAAAAATCAGCATACAAAATTTATATGTTGAATTTCTGATTCTAAATGATTTGCCTTTTCTATTATTTGAATTTGACGGGAATAATCAAGCCAATTAGAAATTTATGGAACTTCATTTTTTGTGTTGGGTTCTTTAACAATTTAGACTAATTTATAACTGAATATTTTTACTACGTTTGTTTGTCACTTCAGTGTCATACAACTTCCAGCCTACCGTGTCGATTTTGTTGTTGACTGTTTAACTGATTTTGGATTGCAAACATAAATGCAGTTAGTATGGAAATCGATGGAGAAGAAGATTCCATTCTCACTAGTAGATATAATGATATACTGTGCAGAAATCAGTGTGATTTTTAGAAAGAGAGAGTTAGGGTTTATGAAGAGGGAAATATATAAATAAAAGATGAGTACTTGAAAATATAACCGTGAGACAGCAACGAGGTGATGCCCGAACAACCCAGTACCCAGTATCCTATTTTGAGTTTTTCATTTTTTTTTTTTTTTTTTTTTGGTAGGGATGCGGCAAAAAGGATATTTTATTTTATTTATTTACTTCCTATTTTTTTTTTTATTAACGTCTCTCCCATTTCCCATTTCCCATTTCCGTCAGACTCTAAAATTACTAATTTAAAAACAATTAATATTTGGTACAATACGACCTGTTTACAACAAAAAAATTTTAGTCCTGCATACGAGCCCTTTAACCCGTCAATAAGTTTTTACTATTTTTTTGGTATTGATTATTATTATTATTTCAGTAGAAATTTTATTATTTAGTTTTTTTTTTCGTGAAAAAGAAGTACCGTGATAAAATGAGTGTTACTGCGTTACACGTGCATATCACGTGTTGTAGTCTCGCCGTTTAATATACTCGTAATCGGTGGGTCATTCTGCACTCCATCGAACTTGAACCTCACTTGTTTCTCAAGAAAGTATCTAGGGAAAAAGTCGCCGTCCGCCCAGGGAAGAGGAAAACTATGGCTCCTGAACCCGAAGACGACATCAAGGACGAGAAGAACCCTCGTCCTCTCGACGAGGATGATATCGCTCTTCTCAAAACCTATGTACAGTTCTATTCCCCACTTAAAACCTAATTTTGAACTCGATCTGTCGGTTTTTTATCTGGATTCTTTCTAATTTGCATATATCTTTTTTCGAAGGATGAAAAATTTTCATTCTTTATATGTTGTTGGTATTGGAACAGACCTTAATTAAGCCTAATTGTATTAGGCTAACCTGCATCTAATCATCAGTTGGTTTAGAATCTTTCTGTTTTGTATGTTACATCCTTGTTTAAGAGTAATTAATGTTCCAAAATTTGCCAATGCTTTTCTGGGCTTGCCCTTTTATTGAATTACATAATAGCCTTTCAGATCTTTATATGCTTGTGGTATGTTATTAGCAAAGTTGTGTTGCTCCTAACGAAGTGAATTTATATATTCCTTTTGGGAAATAGAAAAACTGATTCTGTGAAGGAATAAGATTTTTGCCCATTTATATTCTTTCTAGTTGTCAAAGTTTTTGTTTGAAAAAAAAAAAAAGGAAGAAATGGAACAAGGTAAGAATTATTAGAGTAAGATTATTGCACACTATGGAGTAACCGGTTGTAGTATCTTCTTTGCCTCCTGTTATCGGTAGGACTATTTGATGGGTGAGTATTAAATCGGATCTTAATGTAGACTGTAGAAGGAAGGATCTTGTATTTTTACTTTAGTTGAACCACTGCAATGATTCTATGCAGGGCTTGGGACCTTATTCTGCCAGCATAAAGAAAGCGGAAAAGGAAATTAAGGAAATGGCTAAGAAGGTCAACGATTTATGCGGTATGCTCCCCGTCCATAATTTGTAGTTTACCATTTTGTGGAGCCTGGGTTATCTAATTGTGTACGACTGTATGGTTGCTTCAATCATTCTCTTATATTTAATTGGAATTCTAACATTCCCCCCAATTAAGTTTATATTTCCTTCTGAAATCTTTCTCTGTTTTAACAACTGATTTAAAGTAGAAAATTATATTACGATTTCTTCCAAGTGATCCTTTGAAAACAGATGTTTCCAGTTATTGTTATTTTTTTTTCTTAACAAGGCACATTAGAAAACGGCAAATTTAAACTGCAAGTTTCCAATTATATTTATTTATTCTAGTTTTAAGCTGTGTCACAGGGAGAAGGCACTAAATGCTGTTTCAGTGCCTTCTAGTGGCCTCTTAACTGTTTTTAGTATAGCTTTCTCCCAAAGTGAGAGCAGGAAGCGAAGGGCATCGTAAGAGACTACTAGAATACCTCCACTTCCTAGTGGACAGGAACACTTTTTGTATATCTTTCTTCTTTTTGTTCTATCATCATAGTTGGTTGATCAACAATTTTCTCTTTTTATGTGTGCACCTGGATGTGACCAGTTTATCATTATAGTGGTATCTTCATTTTACAATAGGTATCAAGGAGTCAGACACTGGTTTGGCTGCACCCAGCCAATGGGATCTTGTTTCTGATAAGCAAATGATGCAGGAGGAGCAGCCTCTCCAGGTGTGGTTTTCTGGCAGTTGGAAATTTTTTTATTTTTAGACATGTTCTTTTTCTGAAGCCGTGACTGGGTTTGGCACTTAGGTGGCAAGATGCACGAAGATCATTAGCCCAAACTCTGAAGATGCAAAATATGTTATAAATGTTAAGCAAATTGCAAAGGTACATTTCTTATGACCTGTTACTAATTTTTTTTTCAGGTGATATATCAAATTCCTCAATGTTGGAACACCATGAATCTATTAAATTTTAAAAATTTAAAATGAATCTATGAATCTATTTATTTTTCCTTTTTTTCAATGGGAACTAGGGATTAGTTGAGGTCCCAAGTTGTCAATATGTAAAATGAGGCTTCTCATTTTCTATTAAAGAGTATATATATTTTAGAAGTGGGATTCTTCCTATAGTGATAGTTACTGAGACAAAGTTATGTGAGCTGCATTTTTTACCGGAGTAGTCATAGCAGATAAATTCTTATACAAATTGTGCTAATTATAGTGGTAAGGTTCTTTTAACAATGCTACACTTATTTGATTTCCTATCACTGAACAGCCATAGAAATACAACAATTCATTTACTGTTAGGACAACTATTTTACTCGGACTGCTTCGAGATTAATATTCACACAGCAGGAGATATAAACGAACCCCTTAATTTTCGTTGGTGAAAATGGTCTTATCTTTGTGTCCTATCTATCTTACATTATATTTCTTCTAAATTCTTCCACATATGTAAATATGTATCTTCTAGACATGGCAACATTCTCTAATATATTTTGATTTAAATAAAAGAAGCTGATTTTTATTTTTTTCATTTCGTGATTTTACTCCTTAGAGTAATAGACAACCATCTTTTCTGATTTTATTCTCTATTTACAATTGTAGTTTGTCGTTGGGCTTGGTGACAAAGTTTCCCCAACTGATATTGAAGAAGGCATGCGTGTTGGGTAGGTTTCTTCTCTGCCTTTACATATTTACACTACCGAGCCTTTCTATAGATGTGTCTTTTGCAGAAGCTCATGACAATATCTCATATTTTAAATTTTATGTCATGAGTATTTTTCTTTTCCTCGATGGTCCTTCTTCAATGTTTATTTTTATCATCAGCATGGAAGTTATATTTTAATGCATTGATCTGTTCAAAGGCAATTGTCAAATCATTTTATTCAATTGTACTGTCTTATTATTAAAAATTAGTTTGCTTTGGCACAATTATTTAAAATTGGTTGCAAGTTTCTGACAATTCTAAGAATTAAAATTTATGGTGTTGCACAAATATGAATATGATTTATTTTTCTTTCTGTAGTTTATAGTTCTGAATGAAATTATTCTCTTTTCAGTTTTTCCTCACCAATTAGGTTCTATTCCTAGCTCCTGCCCCATAAGAAAGGATCCACTATTAGTAAGAACTAGTTTTAGTCATGCTATGTCTGTGAATGAATTAGCATTGGGATGTGCTTATTTCACTATCGTACTTAGCCTTCCTTTGCTTCATTCAAGGGTACCAGTTTTGGCACAGCACAGTATGAATATATACACATACAAAATGCTTGAATTTAATCAGAAGTTTGGAATGAAGATGACCATGGTTTGAATTTGTGGTAGTGGTTTTCATCTCGTTGGCACTGAGGGACCTAGTTGCAGCCAATAAATGAGACTGGTGGGTGGTGTGCAATTATATGCTTCATACGTTGCTAAAACTTTCTACAAAAACATAAACCATTTGAACTAATATGAACTCAATGGATCCATAAAGTTGAAAATTATGCACCATGCAACACATATAAGATTGTCTAAAAGGTTAGTACAGATGCTACTTTGAACTACAAAATACTTAGGTCATAGAGTGGCAAGTATCAAGTCCTTGAAGAACTTTTCAAAATTTTGTTGTTTGATGCCTAGATATTGTTAGTATGGTGCAGGATTTTTTTTTTTTTCTTACCCCTTCCTCTCCGTTTATGCTTCTTTGCCCCTCTAATCGAAAAAGATGGAGTTGTTTGAAGCCAAAAGTGGCAGTTTTTCTTTTAGCCATCAGGTTATGCTTGAGGGTTGCAAGTTGTTTCGTAATGTTGCAAGATGATTGGAGTTGTATTTTGATTTATTAGTCAGCACCAATATGACTGAGCCATGGTTGAGTTGAAGAATCACACGTAACTTGGATTTAATTTGTTATGCGTCTCAAACTCATTGCCATTTGCCACCCCTTTCATTTCGTTTTGACTAGATCCAGGAAACTCAGAGTTGACTAGTACTGTAAACGCTGAGCCGGGCACGCACCTACACCTGCCTCTTATCCTAGTCCATATACAGAGTGTTTTTATTTAAGCATTAACTTGTAACTACTTGGTGTTTGTAAATGAACAATGTTTGTAGAGATCGTTATTGTTATGTCCTATAACTTCTATTTATTAATGAACAATCCTTGAGAAGGTCATCCTATGTATCTTATTTATTATGTAATAATAGTGTATATCTTGGTGCTAACTTTAACAAAAAGAAATGAACCAAGAAGCACCTTATTTGGGTTTGGAGAGACCCCTATGTACCATGAAAAAATAGATTCTTCTATTTTTTTTTTCTTTTTCAGTTTTATTCTTTAATTGGAATTTTGTATTAGATAAGAAATCAAAATGGAAAAAGGAAGTGAGATTGTAATGTATGAACTTATACAATTGAAGCAATTATACATGATTATAACGCATTTAATAGCATATCTCCAAAACTTAAATGTAATGTACATTACAAAATGAAATTTCAGCTGGGTTGGGCTTATGCAAAGCAAATGTCATAATGAACTCCATTGGGTCACGGTATGCAAGCCCATGTTTAGCCCCGTGGCTTAGTTTGCTTATAGCTTGCACTACATGAAATGTTTGTATGTGTATTCAGTTTAGGAATCGAATGTGGACATATGTCACATTTTCAAATGCCGACAAGTTATATATTTAAAAGTAGCGGTTGCCATATGACATTCTATATCTTTCAGAAACTTATTCATGTATAGTTAGTGACTTCATTGCTGAAATTTCTATATCTAATAGAAATAACAAGTTTAGGGCTTAACTGACCTATGTTTTTTGAGTGTCATTTGTTTTTGGAACTCTTTGTTACTTCTATTGCTATATTGATCTTTTGAAGTTGATTATATAATTTTTATCTATCTTCTGCTCGCACTTCTTGAAGTCAATTTTATGATTTTTATGATCCTTGTGCTTGCAATTTTCTCCGTGTCTATTAAGTTTTTGATGCTCTTGTTAGCTTGATAATTTCAATTTCATTGCAGAGTTGATCGGAATAAATATCAAATTCAGATTCCATTGCCTCCAAAAATTGACCCGAGTGTAACTATGATGACGGTGGAGGAAAAGCCAGATGTGACATACAACGATGTTGGTGGATGTAAGGAGCAGATTGAAAGGATGCGAGAGGTGCATTGCTGACATTTTTTTCTTCCCATTGTTATTTATGCATCTAGATTTTGTGCCTCTAAATGACATTAACTTTGAATTCTGGTTTGAAACTAGATTTGGTTGTATGTCTGTACTTCTAAATTGGCATGTCCATATGGTGCCGATATCTATCATTCTTGTTGTAGGTTGTTGAGCTGCCCATGCTACATCCTGAGAAATTTGTGAAGCTCGGAATTGATCCTCCTAAAGGTGTGCTGTGCTATGGTCCTCCTGGAACTGGCAAAACACTTCTAGCGAGAGCTGTGGCTAATCGAACTGATGCATGTTTCATTCGTGTTATTGGAAGTGAGCTTGTTCAGAAATATGTTGGTGAGGGAGCTCGTATGGTTCGTGAACTGTTTCAGGTACAAGCTGTCTCGTGGTACAATAGCTAAGCAAAATTTGCTTCACAGCAATGTTGGTAACTTAGAATCTGACTATGTGTCTCTTTTTAGATGGCCCGTTCAAAAAAGGCTTGTATCGTGTTTTTTGATGAAGTAGATGCTATAGGCGGTGCACGTTTTGATGATGGTGTGGGTGGAGACAATGAGGTTCAGCGCACAATGCTCGAGATCGTGAATCAGCTCGATGGCTTTGATGCTCGTGGAAACATCAAAGTTCTAATGGCAACAAATAGGTTAAGTTGGCTACCTATCATATCGGCACTATTTTATGTGATATACATATATATAGTCTTGCATCTATCAGTTCCTTTACGAGTGCAACTAGGGTTTAAAAAAATTGCAAGGGTAATGTGGTGTTTCAATTTTATTAAACCACTTAATGAGTCACACAATGAAATTATGGAAAAGAATAATAGAGCAAAGACTAAGGCAAAAAACATTAACCAATTCTGGTTTATGCTGGGTAGATCCGCTATGGAAGCCATATACTTGACAAGACAACTAATAGTAGATTATAGGAGCAAACAAAAAGACTTGCATATGGTTTCATAGATTCAGAGAAAGGCGCATGATAGAGTGCCAATGGACATTATTTGGTGGGCTCTACAAAGAAAACATGTACCTATAAAACTTGTTAATCTTATTCAAGACATGTATAGTGAGACATTAACTAGAGTTAACACTACATGCCGGGAGACTAGTAACTTCCCTATAAAGGTGGGACTACACCAAGGATCAGCGTTAAGTCCATACCTATTTGTGATAATATTAGATGAAATAATGAAAGATACTCAAGAAAACATCCCATAGTGTATGTTATTTGTGGATGACATAGTCCTAATAGATTCTTGTAAGGAAGCCTTAGCAACAAATTAGAAACATAGAGAAAAATATTAGTGTCAATTAATAATAAATTAAAATGTACGTATAAAAACTACACTGACCGGTGATTGTTCATTGGTGATACTTAACCACCTAACCCAAAGACGTGTAAAATTGATGAAGGTTAAAATAAGTTCTTTTTGTAAAAAATGAAAGTTAAAATAGGTATAAAAAAATTATAGGTTAAACATTCTTTCTTTCCTTCCTCTCTTCCGCCCAATGTTGGGTGGATTAAAATTTAGCAGTTATCGACAGTTAGGAGAGATGCTGCATCCCTCCTTGCTTGCTTCCTCCCTTCCCTTCCTTCCAACCAAACACGGCAAGCCTCTCCAATCCCTCCTATCTTCACTCCCTCCTCAATCCTTCCCTCCAAGCAAACAGAGCATAAGTGTAATCTCTCCATGATCTTGATTTGTCTCTCAACCTTTGTTCATTGCTTCATTTCGGGTTCTGCCATTTTCAAGTTGAGGATGGTGGTGGGGAAGCCTTGTAAATGGTGTGTGTGTGTCCACAAACTCTCTGGATGGGTCCTCTTTTTCTTCTGACTTGGGCTTCTTGGGGAAACCTTGTTGGGTTTATTTGTGACCAGGTCAATTCCTCATGGTTGATCTTGGATACATGCGGAATTGACCTATCAATTTCAATTCAAGTCTTTACTTTCCAAGCCTTTCATTTCACATGAGCTTGGATACATGCATAGGGTGAGAGAATGCGCCAAAGGTTTATCAAATCTCCAAACCAAAGGATACAGGTACACAAATATACATTCATATTTTTTAATAACCTTCTAATTTGTTTGAAATAAAATAGTGTATGTATATAATATAGTGTGTGTGTTTGACTATAAATCGGTTAGTTGATCGCGGGTGTGCCAAAGCCCAAGGACGAGCTCAAAAGATATAGGTATTTCGGGCAATTGTTGTGAAGAGGGAATAGGAACTCCCCTTGAGGTTCGAAAATGCCTTCTTGAAAAGGGCTTTAAAATAATTGCAATGATAACTAAACAAATTGAAATACGGACTGGAAAGTACATGTGAAATGAAAGACTTGAAATGTAAAGACTTGAATTGAAATTGACAGAAATTGAAATACAAGACTTGAATGTAAAAGACATGTAAAGTAAATGATAATTGAAAGTGCAGTTGTTAGTGAGCGATTGCTGCCTTCTAAAGCCCTTAATCCTTCTATTTATTGGCTCCCTGTCCCAACCAGCACAAATAAATAAGTTCAAAGAATCATGCTGCCGAATCTCTTTCAAACTTGCCATATCTTTAAGTGACCAAGTCTCTAGACTCCTAATCATGCCACGTGTCCTTTTATCCACTAAGCGCACTCTTTTTTAAACTTCGAATTGGCGTATTAAGGTAGTTCAAATCTTTTCCTTATCTCTTGCCCACGTGTACATCTTATTCAAAAATAGTTCCTTTCTTTTACGGTCCATTTGGTTAGATGGAAATTAATAGTGGAAATGGAAAGTGAAAGAAGTGAAGTAAAGGAAAGGAAAATTAATTTTCCAGTATGTATTTGGTTAGCATGAAAAGTTTCCAAGAAAGTCATGGAAAAATACCATTTCATAGTTTCAATAGCATGAAAGCTACAAGAAAATATAATGTTTTATCTCAACTGTCCTTATTTTTATTAAATTAAATAAGAAAAAAAGTCTAAATAAATTTGTATTAAGTAAATATTTTGTCTTTTTAAAATATAAAAACTATAGAAAAATCTATATAAATAATTTTGTGAGACATTCACACAGAGAGAGAGATTATTATACAATTACTACAAAATGTTATGCATAAACGCAATTCATTTATAGAGAGAGAAAAACGGGGCATAATTGTAAGTTCACATAATTTTCTCAAGAAAACAAAATTTTCTTGTGTTTTTTGTAGGAAAAATTTATGAGAAAATTAGGCGGTTATGGAAAATTACTTTCCCACAAAAATTCCTTTTCCTGCTAACCAAACTCTAAAAAAGTAAAAATATTTTCCATTTCTTTTCCTGTCTTGATTCTATCTAACCAAACTAAGCTTTAGGAATCTCTTCCCTACAAATCAGCATCCACGTCTTCCTTTAAATCTTTAATTCGTCCACATTATCATACAAGTGGCAGGTTATTCATCATTCCACTGTTAGTCCACACCCCTCTTTTTTTTTTCATCCTTGGCAGTACCAAAGTGGCTGCCGTTTGACTGCCACTTTTTGGTGTCAACAACGTGGCACTTTGGTGCTGACAAAGATAAGCAAAGAGGTGGCACATGGACGGGATGTGGAGCAACAATAGCCTGTCCTTAGTGTTGCAACGTGGAAAGGCTAGAATGAAACACCTGGCTACTGCTAAGAAGACTTGGGAACACATGGACCCTAAACTGTAGGAAGGAGGTTGCTAAAGGATATGGGCAAACCTGTTACTGGGTGTACACACTTAAGCAAGGGATGAAGAAGAATTTTAAGTACCTATACTCAAGGATTGGGGTGATTTGAATGTGTTCAATATTCTTTTCTGTATTTATATTTATTCATTTATATATTATTTTTAAGAATTGCAAATTATTTTCATGTGATTTTGCAACTTCTTGACCATCATTACTTACATTGTGGGCTCTTGTTTACCACTTTTTAGACCTGACACGCTGGACCCAGCACTGCTACGACCTGGAAGGTTAGATCGCAAAGTTGAGTTTGGCCTACCAGATCTGGAGAGTAGGACACAGATATTTAAAATCCATACACGGACAATGAACTGTGAAAGGGATGTTCGGTTTGAACTTCTTGCTCGCCTCTGCCCAAATTCTACAGGTAAGAATGCTTCTCCATAAGAGGTTCCCTTTTCAATGCTCCATTATCAGATTGTTGATGCTGCTACTGTTACGACAAAAATAACATAATATGAAATTTAATGCATTTTCGGTTTATTTATAGTGTGCAATCACTCCTATGCATTGTTGTCAAATTGTGCAACATATATCTGATTCTTATACATTATATATTGTGTACCACATCATGTATACAGTACATGATTTTGTTTGCAAAGCAAATTGAAATGATATAAAATACTAAGCAAAGTAGAGCTTAGTGAAGTGCATATAAAATTCTATTATACACTAGAAGTTAAAATGCTATGGTTCACTTAAAAGGAAAAAGAAAAGGAAATCTTTGCAAAATTGTGCAATGTAAGAATATGCTTCCCTGACTGACCTCATCATTTGGATTTCAAATTCTAACTTCTTTTAGTTTTAAATTCTTGCGTAGATTGGTTGTTCATGACCTATCCAAAATACTCCCTCTATTCCAAAATCAGCGTTCCTCTTTCTTTTGAGATGTTCAATAATAAGTATCCTTTTGGAAAGTCAATATACAAATTTTTTAGCTTTTCTAAATGGTCCTTGGGTTTTGAAAACTTTTCCTAGTAAATAATTTAGAACTTTAAAATTTTTTGTAGGTTACATTGAAATTTAAAAGTCGGAAAACGAGTTTAATACATTTCTCGTTAAAAAGTTGTAGTCTCCATGACCATCCAAAATACTAACCGCTTTTGGTCCCAAATCATTGGGGTTGCTTTTTCCAATAAGCATTGGTTTTATATCTGTATGTTATTTATAATAGTAACCGGTTTATGGATGAGTCCTTATAGAGTATTGGGCCTCTTTCTTTTTTGCAGATGCTCCAAAATAAATATCCCATTTGGAAAGTCAATTTATAATTTTTTTTAACTTTTCTATACTGTCCTTAGTTTTGAAATTGTTGTGGGTTAATTTTGGAATTTATTAGGTTACAAAAAAATGGTATTAGTTTCTCCATACAAGGAGAATATGTAATTAGGACTATGTTATAAAGGAGGCAACAGAAAGCAGTTGTGTTCCTCTCATCTTAATGTAACTTTGCAACTTTGCGACAGCATTATAGATAAATTTTTTTTTTTAAGGAAATAGGTTCAGTTTTTTAATTAAAAAATGTTAAAAATTGTCAATAAAATCAAAGTGTACATGTATCATGTACTAAGAAGCACGGACACGGATACGACACGACACACGGCAAGTCATAAAAAATTAGGATACGGATACGGCGGGGACACGGCAAATAATAAATATTATATATATATATATAGTTTTTATAACCTCATGATGAAAAAAAATTGTGTTTTTGCTGGGAAAAAGAAGCAATGATAAAAAAAGGGTTAAGAAAGAGAAAAAAAACCTAGGAAGCACGAACACGCCAAAATGGGCGAAGAATCCGTGCTCGACACGTGTCGGACACCGACAGGCGTTGGACACGCCCGTCACGTGTCGGACACACCAAAAAATGTGTCTGGATTTTTTTTTTATATTTAATTTTCGGACACGACTCGGACACTCCGCGGACACGCGTCCAACGCGCAAAGGGTGTGTGTCCGACAAATTGGGTTAAAGTATAAATATGTGAAGTTATTTAACAACTTTTACTCACTTATGTGGTCAGTACATAATAATTTTAAACTTGTAAGGTTAATATGCAATTTTAGACAAAACAAATAGATATTTAAGAGCAAGTCATTACACTATTACAATAGATGAGTTATGATTTGTGTATTTTTTTCATTATGAGGTTGATGAAAAATAGCAACACTTAGTAATTTTTAAAGTACTACATCATATATATATATATATATATATATATATATATATATACACTATTCGCCGTGTCCCTATCTTGTCCGTGTCCTAATTTTTTTGGATTTGCCGTATTCGTGTTGTGTCTCGTATCCGTGCTTCTTAGAAAAAAACAAAGAAACAAAGAAGATTAGGGTTCCGTTAGAAAAAGAATTAGGCCTTAGTTAAAAATAAAGGTAAGAATCCATAAAAGAGAAAAAAGTTTCATGGGGAATAAAGGAAAAAGAAACCTAAAAAGAAATTTATTGTGAAAGGAAAAAAAAGTAGTATCTAGTATTTGTGAAGAAGAAGAAGAAAGAAAAGAGGAGGACGAAGAAGAAGAGAGAAAAGAGGAGAGAGAGATAGAGAGACCATCCACCGGTAGCAAAGCTTGATTGGTGGGAGAACAAGAGAGTCAAAGATGATCGTGCAAGAGTTTGAACCTTGAACTAAAATGTAAGGATAAATATCTAATTGTTTTAATATAAAATTGTTTTATAAAACAACTTTTAAGTAATTATGTAATTACCATCATATTGCTTAAATTTATTAAAAAACTTCTAATATTTTTACTTCAACTCAACATTGTTTCTAAAATTTTCTTTAAAATCCCCAAGAATGGGACACGTGTGTCGGACACGTATCCATGGTGTGTCCGGAAATTCAAGACAATATAAAATATTCGGACACATTTTTTTGGTGTGTCGGAGACGTGTTGATGTGTGTCCGGCACGTGTCTGACACGGATACTTTACCCTTTTAGGCCTAGATCATGTAATATACATGACATATATTCTATCTTGTACCTTAACATACTGAAAATCCTCGTTCTTATGGGTCATTTTCGTTTTCTTTACTGATTTATTTTTCAAGAGAAAGTTCAAAAGTTTCCAATTTTAAATGATTTACAATAATTTCTCCTCTAAGCATGGATGGTGTGTCTTCTATGGTAGCATTACCTTGATTCACTGCACAGGGAGCCCTAATGGACAATTGATCGAAAAATGGCCGTCACAAAAACACTTTCTGAAATAGCATGTTGTTTCAATGTCTTTTACATAGAAAAAGATGTGTTCTGCTATGTTATTCTTCCCACAGATTCTTAATGGCATAGTATCAAATCTTTTTTATCATTCAGGAGCTGACATAAGGAGTGTGTGCACGGAAGCTGGAATGTATGCCATTCGAGCACGACGAAAGACTGTAACAGAGAAAGACTTTCTTGATGCCGTGAACAAAGTCATCAAGGGGTACCAGAAGTTCAGCGCTACACCAAAGTACATGGTCTACAACTGATTGAACTGCTTTGCTTCTATGAGAACCAGTTTGTGGCTGTTGATTCAATCAGACTACAAAAATATTTTCATGGCTATTTGATTTCATGGACATTCACTGTTGGAATGCTTTTTAATGCTTTACTTTTTTCCAGTGTCAAAATTATAAGAGATAATTGTATTGAGTTGCAACTGATGTTAAATCAGACTCTAGATTACATCAATGTTGATCTCTCTCACACACACACAAAAGATGGGGCGCCTTCTGGTATTTCTGCGCGCACAGTTCAACCAGAGTTGTGCACAGTTCAACTAGAGTTGTGATTGCGTTGCACTATGGTTGTCAAGCATAAGAATATGGGTTTGGGTTTAAAGATGACCACTTTTTACTGACTTTGAAGCATTAGAATATCGGTTTGAGTTTGAAGATGACCACTTTTTACCGACTGTTCAAAGTATAAGAATATGTGTTTGCGATTAAAGATAACCACTCTGTACTGACTGCAGACATATTTTGTAACGTGACTTTTTTTTTCTTTTTTTTTTTATTTGTTCAACTTCTAGTCGTATATGGTACTTTTTAAAGATATCAGGGAGATATAAGACATTTAATTTTGGGTGAAGTGCAAAAAAAATTCGGAAAGTTTTTTTTGCAACTAATCTCCTATAATTACAAAAAATCTCTTTGAATTATCTGTAATTAAGAAACAGTATCTTTTTCGGACAAATTCCCTCACCGAAAATGTTAAATGACATTAATGCCCTCATACAAGAGGACTCATACAAGACCACGCAGTTTTATTAAACTTTATTAGGCCTAAATTGAACCCAACCCTCTCCCACAAATTCTTCTTCCCCAACCACCTCCACGGTTCACAGCCGCTTCCAACCCCCTCCGACCCGACTCCCTCTCCATTTTCCTTCTTCTCACAGCACCCCGCTAACTCAAGAACCAAACCTTGAGAGCCACAAAAATGGGTTTTGCCGTAACTTTTCTCTCTGTAACCTTAATCTCTCTCCTTGCCGTCACGGCGCCAACGATCTCAGGCTTCTGATTTTGCACTTCCAATCGCACCTTCAACATATTGATTGACTACGTGTCTCACCGAACACCACCTCTCTCTCGGCCGTTAAAACCCTCTTCGGCGTCACCGAACCCTCCTCGGTGCCAACAAACTCCCTCTCTCCACCTTACCCAACCAGTCCATTACAGCGAAGAAAACGATCAAATCCTCTACCTTGTCTTTGCACCAACCGGTAGCTGATTTACATGGTGGTCGCCGACGACGGCCTGGACCACATCGCGAGGGATGTATTCTCAGTGCTGCTAATGCATCAGTAGATCTAGAACGGGAATGAGATTGCTGATCAGAACTTGAACTTTCGACGACTGATTTGGGGTTCAATTTGGGAAAAAAAAAAAAATAGAAAGTATCATCAATGTGGAAAATTTTGTTTTATGTTCTCCACATTCAATTGTTCCAAACGTTCCAAACAGAGATGGTGATTTGGTAGAGATAGGATTTCAACATTCGATGATTGATTGGGGATTCAATTTGGTAAACTCTTCAATTTGAAAAAAAGAAAGAAAAAGGAAAGTATCATCAAATTTGGAAATTTTGTTTTATTTATACATTTAACAGAGATCGTGATCGAGAGGGACAGAGATTAGAGAGAGAGGGAGAGATATCGTGATCGAGAGGGACAGAGATGAGAGAGAGAGAGAGAGAGATCAAAATCCATATATCCACATATATCTATATATATATATATAGAGACACAAATACAAATTAGGGTAATGGATTTGGATAGTAAGGGCTTTTTGGTATTTTTGTATGACAAGAGTGATATGGGCATTTAGAAAAAAAGTAGCCTACACGCGCCTGATTAGGGTCAAAAAATTTCTGCCGGCGACCACTCTGACCAGCGACGATGTATAATAGTTCAGGGGTTAATTGCATTTTTTTTTAGTTTAGGAGGATTTATTACATTTTGGCCCATAATTCAAGGGAATTTTTTTGCACTTTACCCTTTAATTTTTCACATAATTCATACTTGTCCAGAAAATCTGTTTTCTAGAAGTTGGTTTGTTTTGTTATCGACATTATTTAAGGTATCTGGGAGAGGTATAAGAAACTGATTCAAGGACTCAAATATGTTCCACTGCAGGGTGGATGAACACTTTACTAAAGCGTCGAATAATCTCATTTTCGATTCCCTACAAGAAATTAATAGTAAGCAGAAGCAATGAACGCACATTTACAGAATTTTTCAAATGAGTTCGCTCTAAATAGTAGCAACATTTTTTTTTTTTTTTTAAAACTTTTTTTCCTCCCCTCAATCAGTTTAGGGAAACACACAGCAATTTGTCTAATTGTTCTAAATTATTAATCTTCAAATACACACGAGAAAGGGAGAACTAACAAAAAAAAAAATCATCTTGTAAAGTGTGGTTTTATTTCTTCCAGAATTGTCTACTCATTACATAAAGATCTCTGCAAACAGATATTAAAAATGTCAAAAAGCTCAGGGAAGATAATCCTATCCTCTATAATAAAAAAAAATAAAAAATAAAAAAGTAATACAGACTACGAAATGGCATGATTTATTTGCAGAAGGCCCCTTTGCAGATGCACTCTAAGCTTTGTGAGTCCAAAAAATTTAGAATACCACTGCAGAAATCAGTGATACCATTCACAGCAGCTCTTTCGACACTTCTCTTGCAGATTACCCAATATTTACCATGCCAACAATAGCAGTAATTTTTGTTTTCCACAGAAAATTGTATGAGACAACCTTCCTGTGAAACATTGCTTCAGACTGTATGAGCTGATTGAATCATACGCGAGTCCAAATTCTTAAGCCTCACCACTGACTCCACGTGTCCTTTCAATGTGTGCAATTCTCCTAGCCTGCAAAGTCGAAAATTCATTAGAAGGAGCTTCAGCATGTCAAATTGGTTTTGGAGGAGGGAGTGTATAAAATTCAACTATTGAAAGAATACTCGACACTAACAATATATGAACCAAAGAATGAAAAGGGTATCATAAAGATAGCCATTAGTGAAATCTTTTACGCCTAGAAAATTCATTAAAACAAGCTTCAACATGCCTATTTGGTTTTGGAACACGACACTAATAATACATGAATGAAAGAATAAAAAGGCTCCTATGAAGTTAACCCAGTGAGTGAAAGTCTATCATACCTAGCTATTTCAGCACGCCGTCTGGCCTGTTCAGCAATTGTTGGAGACCGCCTTCCGTCGAATTCTGCAGCCATCAACCCTTGTAGACTTCTCTGAGAAAGTACCCACTTTGCTTCCCTATCTTCCTTCCCATAATCCTTTTTAGAAGTAAAGGCAGTCTGGAAAGCGAAAAACAGATTCAAAGCATGAAAAGATTTCCAATCAAAGTATTACACCACATTGGAAAAGGCAGCCAAAAAAAAAAAAAAAACACCAAGAAATAAATAATTTGAACAAACCTTCCTATCGAATAGTAGATTCCAAGCTTCGCCGCTCAAAGCATAGCGGACTGCAAATTTGATAATATCTAGGGGAATGTAGAAGATCAAACTATATAACCATATAACACCTGCCCAGCCCCATCCAATGCCACTTATAGAAGCAAAACTAATATCTGCATAGACTGCAATCAGGGTAGCAACCTACATACAAAGAAAAACAACATAATCAATAATCTCAACGCTGCTTCATTTGCTCTGCTCGTTCCACAATCGACTTTCATTTTTGGCACATGTAAGAGCAGGCCCAACTAGAAGCCATATATGATTTCAAATCAAATATGTAGTCAGGCATATCTACCAATGCACATTAAGGTTGTATACATGAAAAAAAAGAAGAAAAAAAGAAAATAAAAAAAGAAACTGAGGAACCCACACATATGGAGCTCCTTGCCTATTTGAATAAACCTTACCAATTGAGCCACCACAAACGCACACATCAAAAGAGTCCCGGGCCTCTCCAAAAATGACCAACTTTGACTGCGCGTAACAAAAATGAGAGCTTGGCTTATAATGCTGACTTGCAGATACATGGCAGAAGAAATTTCTTCAGTATTTTCAGCTAGGGATCTCACACCGAAGCAGGTCTGCAGCCAGATTAGGAAATTAATAAGCAACAATATCAGGAACAGAATACTAATTTGAGATTTTTTTTTTCACCTTTCCTTTGAAAAATTTCAATAAACATAATTAAGAAACAATTTTGTAAAACTGATACCTCAAAGAAAGATGTATCCTGTGCAACCCAGTAAAATAAGACAGTAACTAAGGCAAGATAAGTTCCAATGACAATGCCGGTTGCAAATATCTCATTGAGCTTCCAACTGTCAGGTCTTGGAGATGGTTTCACCCGATCTTGGGAAATAGTCATGATGGTCCCTGTTTACACAGACAAGAAACATCTTTTAAAGCACATTTTACATCAAGTTACTTAGTTCTATATGGCTAAGCATCATTTTATAAATACAAATCCTTCCTCTAACCTTATACTGAAAAATAAAATAAAAAAATTAGTACCAATGGGAGTGTGTAGACAGCCATTTAGACAAACTTCACGTACTGGGACTCCAATTATATGTAACTTCTATAAGAAATGAGTTTTTAATTAAATGAGAAGGAAAATATATATTTTGCAAGAAAGATATACAACACCCCCTCTCCCCACCAAAAAAAATAAAAGAAAGTCAAACCTAAAGTAGGCAATCAATTTTTTGCCCCTTTGGCACACTCTGCAGTTCATTGCTAACCAAACTGAAAAAGTAGTGGTGCAAGCATATTTTCTTCTTCTATTTTATTTTATTTTTATTTTTTTTTTTACACTTCTGGGAAAAAAAAAGAAGTAAAAAAAAAAAAAGACACTTGCAGGTTGAAACATTACCATCATTCAGTATTGCTATTATCAGAACCATAAAAGGTGGGAAGTCATATTCCCATATCAATGCTAGAAGCGTAAAACCAAGCTGCAAGAAAATCAGATTTTATTAATTTTATGATATTTAAAACACAAACTAAAATTTACGACATGATGGTACCCAACTTACCACAATCCGAATTGTTATGGAGACAGCATATATCTGCATATTCATGTAGAATCAAAATAATTAGATTTGTAATTTATAGGCTAACTGATGTGGCATGCCATGCTCTTATTGATCCTAGCCATCAAAGATGGAGTGCACCTAAAATATCTCTCCAAAAGTTATCAAGTGGAAACACATGGATTTAAAGTATGCAATCTTTAGATACTTCTAAGTCACACTTGGTAAAATCATTCAAACGGGCAGGATTTTGGTTAAGAGGTATTTTAGGTGTATTAGCAACTCCTTTGGCCAGGATTCAACTTCTAGCATGAATACAAGCACCCTATACTAGTAAACTATTGCTACCATTTTGCCTTTAGAAGAAAAGAATAGTACTGAACTGTATAATTCTTCATTCTCTGAAATATAGCTCGGCTAGTTAAAACAGCACTGATAATCACACTTAAACCAGGCTCTGTTAGGACAATATCGGCAGCACCCCTTGCAGCATCCGTGGCGTCTGCCACTGCTATACCAATATCTGCTTTCTTTAAAGCAGGTGCATCATTCACACCATCTCCCGTCATGCCACACACATGCTTCTTTTCTTGTAAAATCTTTACAATCTCATACTTATGTTCTGAAAATAGCATGGCAGTTGTAAATAGAATAAAAAAAACCAGGAGAGGGAGCACTAAACAATATTTTGGAAATGATTCCATACGGTGGAAATACCATAAGCCTTGAAATAAGAACAATAAATATGATCTAAAACAATTGATGCAGACTACTAATCTCATTGAAAGAATTTCTGGGTTAATGCTATGAAGTTTTTCTGAAGCCGAAAGGCAGCAGTGAAGATAGGTCAAAGGTTCAGGTACAGGTCTCAGTGCAAGGGTGCAAGTGGTTGGATCCATCAAGAAAATCAGAGTGAAGTAAATATAGAACAGGGTACAGCTACATGGGCACTCCCTGCATCAGTCAAAGATGCACAGACACCTCTTTCTCTGCTCTGCTTTCACACGTCTGGCACCCAGACTTTGATTACAGATTTTATCTTGTACTGTTCTTGTGTTATCTGGTATGCTGGTGTAAACTGAAGAGTTTAAGTATCATAAGATACACAACTCAACAAAACCTTGTTCCAACTATGAGTTGGACCAAAATAAACCAGTTTCGTCACTGTGATCTATCTACGACCATTACTCTATTAAACCACATTCTATTATATATTTCTTTGCTATCTCAACTCATGTTAAGTTTGGTCTCTCTGTCACCCAATACTACCTCAATGCCTCAATGTGGACCACATCACTCTTCCTCACTGATGCATTTACTGTCTTTATTACAAATTATCTTAACAAATTTTTCTCATTTTATTTCCAATGGGATACTTCAAACATTTCACAGGAAAAAAAAATTATTAATAAATTCTGATTTTATCATTTCTTGTCTTACCACGCTCTAATCAATGTAATATTATGTAAAATTTGACCACCCTTAGTGTATCATTTCAATATTATGACCATCCTCAGTGTATGATGATGTTGTCTCTTAACTGCCCAAAGTTCTAACCTATAAAGCAAAGTTGATCTAAAACCATTTTATGGAATTTCCCTTTTAATTTTAGAGGAATACATTGATCAGACAACATGCTAGAAACAGTCCTCCATTTAACTCAACTTGCTTTAATTTTATAACTAACATTATTCTGTGAATAATAGAGCCTAAGTAATGAAAATGTTCACTTTTTCGTCTCTCTTCACACTCGATTTCACTACATTCCCACTTGGATCCCTAGTTTTGCTATTATTAAATTCTATATATTCACTTTTATAACCAACATTATTCTGTGAATAATAGACCCCAGGTAATGAAAATGTTCACTTTTTCGTCTCTCTTGACACTCGATTTCATTACATTCCCACTTGGATCCCTAGTTTTGTTAATATCAAAGTCCATATAAAGGCAGGGTCTTAATATCTCTGATAAAAACTTACAATGATTGAAAATTTTCTTGTTTATCCTGCAGTTCTTATAAGATATATCACAGCTCCATCATGGAAATCATGTCAATAAGTCTAAATATAACATCTTTCGGGACTCTATCATAGGTTTCTCTATAAAAAGAATATGGACATTTTTCTTCTTCTCCCTAGCGCTTTTCATTAGAATCCTCAGTAAGTAAAAGGTTTTTTGTTGCTGGTACGTCTGCAAGTGCAACCATGTGAGTTGACAATAATATACTGCAGTATTATTTATAAAAAGAATTATAGGCCTAAAGTAAATCTTGTTGATTGCTTGGGGAATCTGGATTTGATAACATTCGAAGATAATAGATAAAGAGATGACAAGGACTTAACAGTACACTCAGCAGTGAAGAATCTGTTGGTGAGGAATTGAAGTTGCAAAACGTTAAGATGATTTTTAATAAGGCAGACACTTTAGGAAGATCATGTAATGTATAAGATGAAGACTTAAATTCTTGGCATACAAGCAAGGATGGCCACCAATATAGTGAAAAACTAAATTGGATTGATTCACAAACATTAGGATGACACAAAAACTATAACAGGAAAAAAAAGTCAAGCAGCTAACTTTTTTTTGTATTCAATTACCAGGAAATACACCAGCAAAGCCATCTGCCTTTTCAATAAGCTCATCCACTGGAAGAACTTCATTTTCATCCTTGTTACGGCCCAACAATGATGAAGAAGGGTACATATTAGTTCCCATGCCAAGTCGCCGACCCGTCTCCTTTGCAATTGCCAACTGATCGCCTATATTAGCACATGAAACAAAGTTAATTTTTGTTTCTGTTTCAGCACTAGGAGGCAGTTCAAAAAGACAAGATTGATATTAGCGAATAGCACTTGGAGGCAATTCAAAAGACAAGATTGATATTAGGTAACTGCCATGACTATGCAACTAGGACAAGATAGGAAGAACTGTAATGCACCTGTGATCATCTTTACACAAACACCAAGGTTAAGTGCTCTACGAATGGTCTCAGCACTGTCATGTCTTGGAGGATCAAACAAGGCCAACAACCCACAAAATGTCCAAGGACCTCCAGGGCTCTCCTTTGATTTTTCTGGAACTTCCTGAAAGTATGTATGATTGTGGAAGGTTAAAAGATTGGCCAGAAATTCAATGTTTAACAATTTGGGTTCTGAAGTGTAAATCACAAGCTTGTTATCCTGTTTCATTTTTTCCAAAGTAAACAACCAATAGTTTACATGCTAATTCTTTGGATTAAATATCTTCTAATGTTTAACTCCATGAACTGCATACTTATCCCTAGCTAACCACCAGTGTTTTTAGCAGATTGATGGTCTTCTCGACATCTGCCTTCTATACTAACACCAACCATTCATTTTTTTTTTGGTAGGTAAAATGATTGCTTATTACATGTAACACAAAAACAAGAGACTCTGAGTTTATTCCAGCCACCACTCTCATCTTCAACCAAACATAATGCAAAGGAAAGAAAGATCCCCAAGGACTATACCTGAAAAGCAACCCCAAGAGACCGCAAGCCCCTTTCAGCAAACTTGTCAATGATGGCATGAACTTTTCCGGCAATCTCATCTCTCTCGGGGCAGAGATTCAAAATCTGAATTTCAGTGGGAAAAAATGGAGAATAAGAATGATGAGTCCGTGGTACAGTTTGCAAAAATATTCAGTTTCAAATGCCCAAGGATAAACTTTTCCCCATAAGAGAGGGTCTCTCTGTATTTAAAAAATTGCAGACGCATTTGAATTGGTTTTAACTCTTTTCTTTTTCCCATTTTAGTATTGGAATGGAGATCAAAATAGGATCTTCAAAATCATAGCTATGTCACAGGGGAAGAACCCTGAAGTAATTAGATTTCCGCTATAATTAGGCATAGTTAACAATAATTCCCATTAGGAATGTAGAATTATGCTGAAAGGTGAAGATAAATAGTTAAACCTAATTAATATACAGGTTAAATGGAAACTCAAGCAGCAGTTAGGATCACTGCATTAAATGCAATACAGGAAGGAACTGAATTATGTATTCATTTGATGATTAGTATTAATAACATAAAGAAGCAGATAAAAATATTAATTAGTTGTTAAAGAAAGGTAACATCAATTAGATCACTTATATTGTAATCTTAAAAATTCGGGAAACTTGACCCCATATTAAATATCTGCAAGGATTCCAAATAAATTATTTTTAGTCTGAGTTCCAATATTCCCTTTTTTGAGGAAAACTAACATATTTTTGCACCATGTTTATAATTTTAATAATCATATGACTAGATCTTTGGAGTGACAAACTTTTAAACTCTGGCTACCTGTTCAGGAGCTCCTTTGCTGGTCCGATACCAATTGCCATCGGAATCAATGTATGTAATTGCAGTGCGTTTGTCCACAGGATTGAAGGGCAGGAAATGCACTTCTGTGATGTTTGCACGCGCCTAAATAAATAAATGATTTCATCGTCTTTTAATATTATTTATTGAAAAAAAATAAAATAAAAAAAACTTCAGCCTTAGTTTTAAATGGACATATTCTCCTACCTCCTTCGGGTCAGCAAGCATGTTAACTATGGCTGCATCAATGGCATCTTGATTCTCCAGTCTAGCTGCTCTGGCAGCATACAGGACAACTGTGTCCCTATCCATATCTTTGCAGAAAACCTACAGAAAGAATTTATTCTGTAAGAATTCTACGTCTACAGATCTCATCATAATTCAATAAAACAACTTCTCTATGTATATTCACTGAAAAATTGAAAATGGAATATCTGTAAAATTAACGGATATATTTAATATTTATCAGATTGAAAGGAGATGTACAATACTTGATTCTCTTAACTAGGGGTGACAAAATTTGACACGACCATTCAACACAACTTGAATCCATCACGAAATTAGGTATGACGTGACCTTAATCGCATTTGTGTCATAATTGTGTCAACCCGATTAACTTTGTTAAAATAAACACGTCGAATTTGGGTTTGGTAACTCAAGTTAGTCAACTCATTTAAGCTGATTTGACTCATCTAGTTAATTGTATCAAGTTGACCAAAATCAACCTGTGATTTCAACCTGTATAATAGGTAATAAATTTAAATTAGTATGGTACTATAGTGAAACCCTAGGTTAATTGTGTGATCTATTGAAATAAAATGGAAATTTCAATCATTCCATAATTTTAATTCAATATTTTTATTTTTTGGGTTATATTTTCATTTTATAATTAAGTAAAAATGGTAAATAGATTGTTAAACAAGTTGTGTCATGTTAAAGGTTATAGGATCCATTTATTAACAGGTTGCACTAGTAGTGCCAAGTAACTAGTTTAATAAACAAAAGTTCCTTCTTAACCCGAATATTAAGGAAGTTGTGTTCAGCTTATTTTGATATGAATATGACCCATTAAAATGAATTGCCACCCTACTCTTAAGATATTGCTTTTCTCGCAAAGTGAAGGATTCCCTAAACTATAATACTAAATTAAAAAAATTACACTAAACTCGTTGTGTAATGAGTACGAGACTAAAGGGGTACCCAGTGCATGAGGGTCCAACCATTGCAGGGTCAGATGTGCGTAGCCTTACCTCTGCATGCAGAGAGGCTATTTTCAGTTTCGAAATCATGAGCTCCAAAATAGAGCAACCTTACCTATGCAACAAAGCCCGCCCTCAAGTATGTGACTATGAACACAAAAGAGTAAAATTTTGAAGCAAGAAGCCATGAAAAAATATACATCATAGATGATACAATGACATATAGTTTGGGAAGTTCAGAAGCTGTATAATTTTCCAGATTCACCAAATGAGCCAGGACCTATCAGCATTTCAGCACCAGCTCTCCAATAAAGCTTATTTTGTGTCACAGCCTACGGTTGGATGTGTAACTTTATCAACTAGTGAACACAATGTGTTGGATTTGGATAGGCCACATCTAATTAGTCAAGCTAATCTAAGAATACATTCTACCCTCCATTGAGAATTTTTCAAGTGATGTAAGTGGTCCCCCCAAGTAATATTCCTAGTCAAAAATCAAACCATAAAAAATAGGTCTCCTTTATTGTAAACCCATCAAGTTCTCTTTCCTAGACATTTCCAAATTTGTCGGACATCACATTTGTATCAGACAACAAAAAATTCTCTCAGATAATCGAGTCTGTATTGTATGCCAATATGACATGCAAATAATGTTTCCCTAGAATAAATTAGTAGGACAAACGAAGCCCTGGTTAAGTAGGATTTTGTACCTCGATAAGGTTTCGATCAACAGTGAGGCGATTCAGGGTCAGTGTTCCAGTTTTATCACTGCAGAGGACATCCATTCCAGCCATTTCTTCGATTGCTGTCATCCTCTTCGTAATGGCACCCTTTAGAAATTAAGCGAAAATGGAGTTGCAAAGAAAGTTAACATTTGGTATTTGACCTTGAGATCATATTTGTTAACAGAGAAAAAAAGACAAAAATGTAATTTTTTTTTTTCATTCATCTTTCTTCCACTATAATATTCATTTGATCTCCAAAAGTAAGCAATATTAGTTGATTGGCTTAGGCCACCAGAGTTGTGACATACAACAGAACCTTTTGGAGTACTTTTGACTAGTAGTTTTAAGAGTTGTACCTGTTGAGAGAGTCGATGAGAACCAATTGCTAGTGTAACAGATAACACTGTTGGCATAGCTATGGGTATTCCTCCAATCAAGAGGACAAGAAGGTTGTTGATTCCAACTCTATATGCACGCTGCTGTATAGGGAACATGACAATAATTTCAAGAATCATTCCCACTGCTATAGAGCAAATACAGAAGTTCCCGATAGCTGTAAGGACCTGCAGGGGAAACATATTACATATAAACACTATACTCCACCAGGGTTGTTCTAAATATTGATGAAACTTGAATAATCTCAGGAGATATTTCTATTTAAGAATCTTAATTAACAACCATTTTCAGGATTTCAGCTTCGCCTAATGTGACATTTCTAGCACTAGAGGAAGTATTAAAAGTACTTATGGAATTCTACTTCCACGTTGAATATAATTGTGATAGAGATTAGTATTTATGAGTTTCATGTACAATGTAAGGGGCACAGTTTAGTATTAAGGAGATCCTTCCAGAGTTAAGAAAAAAAACAATTATGTATCAATAGACCCTTGCATACTAATGTGAAATACATTCATTACTACCTTCTGGAAATGGCCAACAACTTCAGTGGAATCAACTAAATGTGCAGCTTTTCCAAAGAAAGAGTGAACTCCCGTTGCTATCACCACAGCTTCAATTTCTCCATGCTTACATGTTGAACCAGAATAAACTTCATCACCTGTCTTCTTGGTGACAGGCAGAGATTCTCCTGTAAGAGCTGACTGTAGAGGAAATACTCAAGTTAAAAAAACATTTTATGAATCATATTAAAATTCTTTATTATAATAATAAAGAAAGAAAATGGTTAATAGTTTAAATTCCAATGCCAAGAAGAACGACTAAAAGAAGAGCAGCAAATTAGAACAATTAAAAGTATAACACAAAACAAAATATAGCACATTCTACGTCTTATCGAAAGTATTTACCTGGTCAATTTTTAGTGGGTCTCCCTCAAGCAGGCGAGCATCCGCAGGGATAATATCACCAAGCTTTATGCTAATAATATCTCCTGGTACTAAAACAGCTGCATCTTGCTCTTGCCATTGCCCATCTCTGAGGACCTGCCTAACAAAATGATGAGTTGACTCTGCATAGTATTTGCAAGACATAACAAGATAAAAGGTAATAAGAGAATATACTAAGGTCGGAACCCCTCCGGAAGGAGGTTAAGCAACCGTCTTTGGTAAAGGAAATTCAGTGAATTTAGGGTGTCTATTTTTGAAAGGGGAATTAAGTCTTTGTGACATCACTGACCCATTATAGCCTCCACCTATTTCCCACCCGTAATATATAGGATGAAGATACCACAAGAAGAGAGAGAGAAAATAGTAAAAATGAAAACCTTAACCTAATCAGAAAATTTCCTCAGGAGTATCAGTGTCCCCTTTAGCACTAAGCATCCTGTATTTTACTTGTAATTCTAATCATATTGAGTTCCCTAATAAGATTGAATATGCTTAGTCAACATCCAAGGTTTCTACTACAGAACCATTGGCCAACAAATCATATTACTTCACTTGGCACTTGGTAGTAACTCTCAGACTCCTCTGTAATACTATCATAGAATTTCAATTGAAGCAGTATTCCAGCTTAGGCCTCATAAGGTTCCTTAGTAGTATTAGAGTCGAGACATGCAAAAGGAGTTTGAATTTTCTGGGTATACCTACAAAGTGATGTAAGGATTCTAAGCCAATATAAAACTAAATTGAGCTTTAGCAATCCCACCCAGCCAACACATTTACACTAAACTTTAAAATCTTTAATGAATCAGATCAAATTTTTATCTCAGAACAAAGAGGATCGTATCATTTAGTACAGTGTTTTCTGCATGTATTTAGATTACAAAGGATTAAAGGAGGAAAAGGAGTTGGTGGTGGTGAACAATACGAATTTCTAAAATCTCAATTTTGATACAAAGTCATGGTCCCGGTTGATTTTTGTTCTTTTGATTTTAAAAGTAAGGTATGATTCTTAAGATCCTTCAGCATGATGGATAATTAGGGAAGCACAGAGTGGTCAAATATTTTGTGTTTCCACATTGTGAACCTGTTTAACAAAGATAAATATAGTATTGATAATAATAAATAATATTCTAAAATAATTATTTTAAAAAACAACTCAGGAAAGAGAATTTTATCATTCTTCGGATGAAGCTCCTAAAATTTTCAATCCTTTAATGAGTGAAGGCACTAAGCAAAACAACATACCTTAGTTTTGGGGGCTAAATGTGCCATAAGTGCTGCAGCAGCATTTCCAGCATTATTTTCTTCTATGAAACTAATGGTTGAGTTAATGATTAACAGGCAAATAATCCCTACAAAGTCCTGCCAGTCAGGACCCTCCCCCTGGAATATCATGAACGAAATGACGGTTATGACACAGATGATACAAATAATAAAAAATTGGTGTTGTGTAGGGAAGGGAGTAAAAGTTTGCAAAATGCAATGATATGTTAAAATAATGACAGGGTTCAACAAACTCACTCCACCATTAGCAAGGACAATGGCCATCACTGCTGCTGCTTCCATAACCCATGACAAGGGATTCCACATAAAACTGAGAAATTTCAGAAATTTGTTCTCCTGAAATTAAAAAGAAAAAAGAATTGACTTAAATTGGAAGCTAGATGCTATTCCATTCAGGTAATACTTGCATTAGATAAATATGATACCATGTGCAGCCATCCACAGTTATTAACATCATTTAAATATATGGTTTGAATACCCAACTATAGCCTGAGCTCAAACCTTCTCTAACCCCAATGGTTGGTGAGCCAATATATATGGAGTCTACATCATGTTCGCTGTGCAGTTCTCAGCTTTCTTCTTCCGTTTTCTACTTCCTTTTTCATATTTTCTTAAGAATGATAATTGTATATTGAGTGGGTGTGATGACCGACGACAACAATTCTTGTAATACTTATACAACATGGGCATTTTGAACATACTCTAGGAACTGGAGTTTAAAAATGTGCCGAAGCCTTTTCAAGTGAAGGCACCAACCCTTCAAATTTTCTCAGCATTCTTTGTATAAATTTTCAAATGTTGCTACTGTATTAAGTTACTGAGTCTCCAGACCCCAACTCCAGCCTTTTAAGAACATCTTCTGGTTTTCTTGTTTTGACAGATTCAGTACAATGTCATTACATTTTTTCAAAGTTAAAGCTTTGACGTGCCCCACTGTCCTCGTCATTTATTATTATAATTAGTAAACAAGGGTAAGTGCAAAACTTACTACCATCTCAGGTGTTTGTTTGTTTGTTTTTCTCTAGAAGCAAAAAATAGTAAGAACACATTAAAGACGGATGATTATAAATCTGATTTATCAATTTGTAGTGCTTACTGGTTTTTCTTCAAGCTTGTTTGGGCCAAATATAGTCAGGCGGAGCTCTGCATTGTCAGATGAAAGTCCTGCTCGTGAAGTTCTTAGTTGTTCAAAAACTTCATCTAAGGGCAAGCGTTCCTGTTGAACCAAATCAATTAATATATTTGGTGTCATATGGGAATTTCAAGATGTTGACATCATACTAGCAATTGTTGCATGACTTACCAGATCAATCCCTTCCCGGTTGAAATTCTCAGGATCCAACAGTGGTTTGTCCAGATCTTCAGCCATGTTTCTGGCCTCAAAAGCTGGAATTAAGATAAAATTTAATGTTTATCAGAAGTAATAAGAAAGCATGTTTATAACTAATATTTATCAAAGCTGTGAGAACTCCAGCCACGGTATTGATGTTGCAGCAAACCATGAAATTCATTTATGTCACGTCTTTCTTACACCTCTGTGATATGGAAAACCAGTTCCATTAATAAGATACGAAAGAAACTTATAGGAGCATCTCATGAAAACCTTTTCTTTTTTTTTTCTTTCTCTCCAAAGACTTGCTTCTACCAATTGAAAACAATAACTGTCCATTATCAAAATGGAGTGCCCCAGTGGCAATGCCATTGTATGCACCGCCAAAATAGATAGAAAGAAGGGAACGAAAATTCAATGTGAAATTCCATCAGATGTCAGAGACATTGGATTTTAGATATATGAAATATTTAATTCCAAACATACATTTGAAGAGATGAATTATTGTCACAAGAGGCAAAAATGCATCGCACAAGAGAATTAAGAAGAAAATGAGATGTGGGAAAATGCAATCAGAGTGTATGCCCAAACCATCAAAAAAATAAAAGTGGCTGTAACTCGTAACCAAATTTAAATGCTCCAAGGTTCTAGCCACGGACTTTGAACTCGTATCGCCCCTTCACATAGTCCAACTACTCAACCCTACTAACTTCATACGGTGATATGGTGTAGACGACAACAAGAATGTTTTTTTTTTTTTTGCCCTTTACACAATTCTTTTCCATCTATGACCCAACAATGACATGCAGCCTACCTAAAAAAATAATGGCATCTCTACATGTGATAATGTTAAGAATTATTGCCTTGGATTACAAAAGTGAACGCAACTCCAGTAGCCAAACAGAAGGATGAAACTAAATTTTTCTATACTGAAGGAAATGGCATTCATTTAGTACTAAACAAGAGACACACACTGAGTCATCCTAAATGTATTAAAAAATCGACAAATTCACCAAATCTACTCAAAAAGTAATAAAATTTATCACTCGGCCTCCTGAAATCAGTACATTGTCATCAGCAAAAACCATTTTTCTCATATAATTAACTTCCATTTTGAGCAAAGCACACTCACCAGCAGACTTCGAGTTCGACTTAAGCAGAAAGTACCTAAATTGACACTCACACACACGTAAATTCACACAGATATACATACATTTATATTATATGTTACCAAATGTAAAGATTCACTTACTTGGGTGAGATAAGGGAGGTCCAACTTTTTTGCAGAACTCGGGAGGGTTAGGGTTTCGAATGATGACTTCCCAATTTGGTGGGGATGATGTCTAGGGTTTACTGTAAGGAAGCAGAGGAATATGTGAGAAAATGGATCTATAAAAGGCACTACATGATTCGGATTTGGTAGTTGACCAAAATTGGTTGGTGGTTCACAACAAACTAATAGTTGAAATAGAGATCGAAATCGAAATATAGGGCTTGATCCCATCTTTCCAATTAGATTGAAATCGGGGGAAGGAAGAAGAGGATGAAGAAGAATGACCGTTGCCCAACGACCTTTCAAAACCAAACCTCCAAACCTAACGGTCCACTGGCATGATCTCCCGCCACGTCTCATGTAACAAACTAAGTAGATTTGTGGAGTACTTGTACAAAGGTTAGGTCTTTGTTTGGTACCATCCATTACATGCCTTCGGTTAGCTGTAGGCTGTAGCTTCCAAAGAGACTTTGCATGCTTTATTTTTAATTTTTTTATTTTTATTTGATCAAATATTTAATTTGTAAGTGAATCAATATTCAATATACTCAATTTTTTGTCTTTATATAGAAGCAACAAAAACATTTAAGCTAACTGAGTTTTCTAATGGAAAACAACAATAAAGTAATCAAGCAATATTAAATACGTATATTTCATGAATTTGTTTATACAGTATTTGGAGCACTGAATTATACCTAAGTTTTAAATTGTAGGCTTTGAACTAAATTTTTCTTAATTTCAAAATTAATGTGCCAACTCTCAAACGCAAAATTACAGTATTTTATAAGGGTTAAGTACAAAAAACTCCATTTACTATCTATATAGTGCAAAATAGTTAATGTGTAATGTAGAACACCCCTATACTATTGATTTAGTGTAAATAGCCACTAAAAACTTTAAATGAAGTCTGAAGGTAATAATACCCTCGTTTCAGTATAATAAATTAATAAGTATAAATACAAGCCGTGTAAAATGACCATTTTATCCAATTTATATAGAAGTTTGTTTGTTTGTTTGGAACAAAAATAAAATAAACCTAGCGTTATTTGTTTGTTTATTTGTTTGGGACAAGAAAATTATATATTTTGTAAAGTAGAAAAACTATATATGTATTTATATATAAAAAAATAAATTTTATTCAATTTTTTTCAAAAAATATTTTGAATCTAAATGCAATCATTAATATAAAGACCATCTATAGTCATCATTTAATAAAGTTTGAATTTTTCTCATCAATTATATATATAAGTTACATTTTAATGTTTAAATGGAAAACAAAAACAGTAATATTATGGACTGAAATGCCTTTTTTTTTAAAAAAGGAGGTGCTCATTGTACACATAACCTATATTACAAGGGATTTTCTGCACTTAACCCTATTTATAACTATAATTTAGTTTGTCAAATTGAAGTTAGGGTTTAGGAAATCAATTAGCTGATTTTTTTTTTTTTTTTTTTTTCCAGTAAAAAACAATTTGGTTGACTATTCTTAAAGGAAGAGATTAGTTTTGCCTTGCTGAAAACAAATAGAACGAAATCAAGTTATGAGCATGTTAAACAAACTATTATATATATTTTTAAAGATGGATATAATGTGTTCATTTGACTTGTGAGCACATGCATAATACAGTATTTTTTTTAAAATATATATTGAAATATAATAGCAATTTACAAAAATAAAAACACGAGTTAATGAGCTGATTTGGTTATTGAACATGCTTTAACTCCTTGTTCTTTGCTCTAAAAATTATAAGTTGAGTCAAAAATTGAATTACTACATTCTTCTAAATCGTTCGGAATCAATTTATTTATTTATTATTATTATTTTTTGACTTGGCATGCTTGAACTCCTTGTTCTTTCCTCTAAAAATTATATGTTGAGTCCAAAATTGAATTACTGTAGTCTTCTAAATCATTATTCCGAATCAATTTATTTAGGTAAGTACTCTGATACTGTACAAATTTCAATTCTTCTTCTTTAAAATAATAAATGTTATTTATTATTAATAATAATTTTGATTTGGCAATGGTTAGTGAGATTAGAGAATTAGATGTTAAAGAAGAGGGAAAATGATGTTGGTAAATTTTAAACACGTGTCAAAGATTCCAAATAATACACGCCTTTTGGACTTGCATGCACCTACAAAATATGTTATATTAAAGTGGTGTAAAAATTATTAAAAGTAGAAGATCGAAAGTTCAAATTCACATTATTAGAACACGGGTACTACATCTATCAATTATCATAATAAATTAATAATACTTGCACCCTCTCATTTTTTTCCAAAGTTGTTGTGTATTTATGCATAAAAGTCAAAGTGTCTAATTGGTTCCATCCTCTCAAATACAGCTAAGTGGTCCTTTGATTTCGTTGACCATCCTTGTTTTTAATTGTAGTTACATTTCAATTGAAAACTTTAGCACTCTAATGAGAAAAAGCAATCACATCAACGGTGGTGGTGAATTCCTTCGCCGCCTTCCTAATTTGATTATTTGGTGGGAAAGGGGTGGAAAGTGGGATATGATCACATGAACATTGTCATTTTATAATTGCATTTGAGGTTAAAGACTGAGCCCAAATTTCATGGTCCAATTTTTAAGTGGGCTGGGTTTAGTTCCTTCTCACAACATTTGAAGCCTAATTTTGGTTTGGGCTAAACTAGCCATTTGTTCACTCGGGTTGAACCCACCCCGAGCTTTACATAACTAATCCAATGGCCCAAGTGGCTAATGACTCGTGTTCGGAAATTTCAAGGTCCAAAGTAGTTTTGCTTCCTCGAACAACTTTATAAATTACCAGGGACCTGAATGACATCTTATTTTCTTTTCAAGTGAAAGATGATGATTACCTAGTTCAAGTTGTTGTTATGGCATATCAAGTTGCATGCCATAAGTACTAACTACGATATTACCTAATTTTGGTTCGACCGCACAAGGATTTTTGAAAAAAAGATTCAAGACAGACATAACTTTTGATATTTGAAAAAAAGATTCAAGACAGACATAACTTTTGATATTTTATTAGTTAACTGTTCTCAAATTCGTGTCAAGAGCATTGATGTTTAATCGTTAAATTGCATAACTAATCTTTAATGCTATTTTGTACAAAAGTCTTACAAATGACATTTCTAACTTTACCATCCAAAAATGTAGGCAAAATAAGAGCCAACCAATAATTAAAAAACATCTTTGGAGTATTTATATAAAAAAAAGTATGATCCATCGATCCATGCCAAACTAACTAGTTGGAGTTTAAGGTGGGACTTTTCCAGTGAGTAGCGGGGGTATGACTGTTGAGTGTCTTCTAAAAAAAATAAAAAAATAAAAAATAAATTATTATTATTACTATTATTATTATTATTATTTTTATTATTATTATTTTTTTATCATAAACAAAACAACTAGAAGTAGAGTCGCCTTTTATTTTCAACATGAAACCTTGATATGTTATCCGGGACAAAACCAAAACGTGTTTTTCTTGTCTTCAGCCAAACAGATGTCAAAGAGTGCCAACTCTCTAGGATTAGGCTATGTTTGGTACAGTGAAAAAGAAGAGAGAGAGTTGGAGAGTTAAGAGTAGTGAGCAGCTGATAGAATATTCCAAATGTGGCCAACTCAGTTCCAACTGCGAAAGCGGCCAAATCACCATCCCCAAACAATTTCATCACCATAATTTTTAATGGGTAACTGCCGAACCACCACACACACACAAACACCACAATTTCCTCCACTTTCGTTCTGTGTCTCAAACATACACCGCTCTGTGCCCTTTGATTGAATCTTCATTGAATTGCAGTATTTGAAATCCTTCTTCAGTTCCAAGGGACCCAAGTTGAGCTCTCTTAGCCCCCCATTTGATTTGCCTCAAGGTAAAAAGCTCACTATACATACACTCTCTCTCTCTCACACACACATATATATCTATATATATATATATATATTTATAGGTGCCCGATTTTGTCGAAGCAATATGTTCTGAGTGGATTTTGCTGGAAGAAAACATTTTGAAATTGAACCCTTTAAAGTTAATTTTCTTTCAACAAATCTAGAAAGTTATGCTTATTTGCCAATTTCAGATGATAATTTCAAGGTGCTTTGTATAGTGAAATTGGGTTTTTTTTTTATTTATCATTATTATTTATTTATATATTAATCATATTTGGGTCCATTTTATAGCGTGGTTGTTTAATTCGTTAAATTCTTGATTTTGTTGGGGTCCGGTTTTTTATGCATATAACTTAATTTAGTACTGTCAGTATCATACAGTGAAAAAATTGACTTAAAAGTAGTTTCTGGTTTGAATAGCTGAGATAGAAATAAAAAGAAGCTGTGGATTGCTTTTATAGTTTCAGTGTACTATTTATATTTTATCTGCACTAACTTTTCGTTTTTTATTTGGGTTATGGTGAAGTTCTCATATGAAAATTTGATTTTTTTAATTTTTAATTTTTTTTTTAATACTTATAAAAAAAATTGATTTTTTTACTACCTACATTAATGGGTTATAATGTCACATATATTGTGATGACAGGGTCACTATTGTTGGAGTTTGAATTGGGTTCCTAAAAGTTTGTGCTAGCATCCAATTTGGATATTGGGCTTGTTAAAATGACTCAGTTTGGACAAGTTTCTGCCATTAACGTGAATGGGCAATGTAATGTGATGAACTTATGGAACTCAAAATCTTCTTGGAGATGTGGTTTCCATGTTGGTCCAGAGCAAGCAAATGCCTTGGCATTTGGAGGTAGTGATTCCATGGGTCATAGACTGATAATCCGAAACAGGGATGCTGTTAGAACAACACCAAGGAAGGATGCACGCCCATTGCAGGTCTGTTTCTTAAATTTGATAGGATGATTTAATCTTCATGAAACTCTCATTGATTGAATGAAATGCATTTAATTATTGGTTTATCATACAGGTGGTTTGCATTGACTATCCAAGACCAGAGCTTGAGAATACTGTTAATTTCTTGGAAGCTGCTTACTTATCTTCATCATTTCGTACTTCTTCCCGGCCAGACAAACCATTAGACATTGTAATAGCTGGTGCAGGTGAGCAAGTCTCATTCTATCTTTAGATGGAGTTTCGTTTTGGTATAGTTAGAAAACAAAGCTTGAATCTATGAGATTAGCTACCCTCATACTCTTTCAGTTTACAGTATTTACTGATTTATGGGTCACTTGTTTTTGTGTGTTTAATTCAAATATCACACACTTGTTATTCTTTAGTACATTTATTAATAAGAGTGTGGCATATCTCTCTCTCTCTCTCTGTGGAATTGAGTTATATGCCTTATTACGAACTGCTCGATGCTTATTAGCTTAATTAGAATGTTCTGAACTCATTATGCTTGTTTATCTATACCCATACCCATATCTTTTGTTATACTGAAGTATTTGATAACATGGCATTCTCTTGGTATATATCAACTTGGTTATGTGCTCTGAACTAATTGTGACTAATTGTGCATGTATTGTTGTAAATCCAAAATCATGCCTTTTATCAATCCTAAAAATAAATTGAACCACATATTGCATTCAAAGAATGATCTATCTTATTTGGCAGTGATGTCAATTTATAAAATTTCAAATTCTTTCAGGTCTGGCTGGTTTATCTACTGCAAAGTATTTGGCAGATGCAGGTCACAGACCTATATTGTTGGAAGCACGAGATGTTCTAGGTGGAAAGGTTTAGATATGTTCTATTTTGTACCTTTATTTCAGTCCATAGACATAGATAGTGTCTGTCTTGTTCGTTGAATTACTTGTTTTTGTTTTATCTCATGCAAATTATAGTCTCTTCTTGTTCTTCTTCTTTTCCAAATTTCTCAGTGACCGGAATATATGATCTTATCAGTTAATCTTAAGATAGTAAGCAGTTTTCATGGGCTAATTAACTGGAAGAACTTTTATAATTTGGTCACTTTTCCATGGAACAACTGACAGGGAAGGTCTGTGATAATGATTGAGATTTCTCTATACTCCTTTTATTTCTGCTGAACATCAGGGTTTTACTTGATAAAATAATAAATTTTCAAGAGTAAATAAGTAATTTTCTTTTCTTAAGTTAGACTGAAGGGACACATACTTTTTTCTATAGAACTCATGGTAGGATATCCATTAATATAAATGCACCCTTAAAAGGTGAAATGCTTCTGGAAAAAGCTTCCTATGAACTATTTTCTGTTGAGACAAATGGTTTCTGAGGAAATTGGATATCATCGTCAATTTCCTCCATTGATGCCTGTACTCTTTCCTTGAAAACTTTCCCTGCAAACCTCCTATAATCAAGCAGCTGTGTGTGTCATTCACCTCTTGATTTCAAATTCATTGGCGAAGGTCATGGGCCTCATGGCATCTTTGTTGGCATGTATTTGGAGTATCTCTCTTAAGTTCTTCTCCCCTTCCTGTGATAACTTAGAAGTGATAATATAGTGCTAGGTCGATTGGACTTAGGTTGTCTAATTTCGTTCAACACTTGGTGTCTATATTTTTATTTTAACTTCTGATTAGTATTCTAAAAGTTAGTTAGGTTAGTTGAGTTACCTCTTGTCCAAGGGTGTTTCGGTAAATTCTAGGCTTCAAGCAGGGGAAAAAGGGTAATTACAACTCTCAATACATGAAATTTTAAACACATTATACATGTTTTAATCTAGCAAAATGTCTTCTGGAATGTGTAAAATTGTTTAAAAGGGTAGCCCAATGCACAAGGCTCTTGCCAGTGCAGGGTCTGGGGAGAGTCAGATGTATGCATTCTCACCTCCACTTCCAGAGAGTCTGTTTCTCGTTTTGAACCTGCAACCTCTAGACCGCATGGAGCAACCTTACCAGTGTGTCAGGGCCATCCATCCGCATAAAATTGTTTAGAAGTTTCTATTTTCAAAATCCTAAAATATTCAGGATAGGGCAATTTCAATAGATTGAGGGATCAAGCAAAAGTCATTGCACCATTTTCGTTCAATTTGAAATGACTTCGATTGAGCGAAACCTATGCTACTAGAGTTTCCAAAATGGATTCAAACCAAGGGCGAATCCAGGAATTGTCAATGGGTTGGGTTAATATTTCTTTGAGTGGGCTAATAGTAGTAATAATTTTTATTTTTTTGGGGCTGGGCTAAAATTAGGTATAGTAAATTTTTTTTTTTTTTTTTGGGTGGGCAAGCCCACCCCTGGATCCGCCAGTGATTCAAACTTCTTAGAGTTTCAAAAAATAAGGAGAGAAGTGCAACTAAGTGTACACAAGGCACAGGCATATTGAGTGCAGCTAGCAATTTGATTGCTATGTTTTGTTTCTTTTGCATTCATCATCATAATCTAGATGGTGAGTGTAATTTGAATGTTGAACTTCGAAAAAATCCAAGTGCTACAAGGATTTTCAACACTGGAAGTATCTTCCGCACAACCAACACAAAGCGGACAATATTAGTCATAAAGATCAACGTGCCAAAGGAGAATGGATTACGTGAGGAACGGATTCTTTGACTGGCAACAAAAAGAGCTCGGGTGGAGCATCTAGCGTGAGTCTGGGTCAAAAGTAATTAGAGAATTCTTATGTTAGAGCCTGGTTAACCTAGTGTGTAAATACCTTTTCTCATAGTGGATTCAATGTACTTGGACTAGGTCCTATGCTTTTTCCCTAATGGGGTATTCCACTTAAATATTTCATGTGTAGATGATCTCTCTACTTACTATGCTTCACATATGCTACATGAGTGAATTTTACAACCTTTCTAGTTAGTTGAAATTTAAATTATTGTTAATAGTAGTTTAAATTGTTAATTTCTATTTAAGATTGTTAATTTAGCAAGAGCTATTCATCCTCCTCTAGGTCTAGTTGGGGCCTTGTGCTTACTCTGTCTATCTGAACCTAGGGTTACGGTCCTCAGTTCTATTATTTCTCTTGGAGTTGCTATTAATGGCATAACTGAACAATGTCGGATCCTGAAGTCATCTTTGGTAACATGGTGGATTATTATTTGGAGGTGAGTTTTGATTGTTGGTGCCACCTTGGCAGCCCTCTCACCTTGGAATGATACATTTCATCTCTGTTATAATATTCATTTTCCGTGTCCAATAACATTGGGGAAAGCTTGTGGCTGGCTGTTTGAGATGTATCAAAGAGCCCTCTTCTTTTACCTTCCCAACGTGCAGCCGTCTGTGAAATTCCCTCCAAGACAAATCAATCACCAGATCCATGCTAATCATCGACTCGGAACTGTATTCTGTTTCAAATTTAAGTTTTTTGGGGGTTCTATTGAACCTTTCATTATCCTAAAAGCGAAATGCCAAAATTCACATTCTCGAGAGCTGGTTGAGGGTTTAAAATTGTTAAGTGGAGAGATTAATAAAACACAATTGACTGGCCAATCTATTTGTCAATGGATGTAGTCTTATAAATAATCCGAGTTGGGGCATGAATGTAATGATGGACATGCTTCCTGTTTTGATGAGAGAAGAGTTTCAAGGTCAAACATCTAAATTAAGTCACGAAGCCCTAGTATATTAGAATCTTTCATATTCTCCCTATCAAACCAATATTTATTCTTTCCTCCTCACAGACTAGCAAACCAAGATAACCAAAATGGCTGATCTTGGAGTTATTTTCTGGCCACCAATTTTACAATAAAATACAATTCTATTGGAATTTATGAATTATGATATATACTACCTCCTAGTATTGATTTTCTTGCAACCCTTTTTCAAACTCGACTTTAATTATTAAAAGTTCTGAGGACTGAATTAAGGAACTAAACCTTTCATATCATATACTTTATTGTTTTGTTTAATTATTTCATTATATTTGTGGTGAACACCTGAACCGTGAAATGGGATATGAGAGTTAACCCTCTTTTGGTGGACACTTTGCTTATAACCTCTGCTAGTTTAACTTTAATGTGATACTATCATGCCCTTCTCATGGAATGCATAATGAAGCGGCTCATCTGGTGTGATGTATGACCTTGCACGTATACTGGTTTGCTAAAACTAGTGTTGCTATCATATTTTCAGAGCACAACATAATTTTGTTGAGGGGAATTTGTTCTTGGTGCCAGAAATCTGTTAGAAAACTCGACTCTTTTTGTGTTAGACAATAAAAAGTGTACTTAACACTTTTTGAAGGTCAGGCATAGACTGAATTTATACAATAGCAGTTGAAATCTTATTCTGAGGCATGTTAAGTTAGAGTTAAAACTCAAGGGTGAGTGCGTAATAAGTTCAGCTTCCTTCTAAAATTTTATTCTATAGCTGGAAATCCTTCTTTGTTGTGGTAAAGATTGGTCCTTATTCTTACAGGTAGCTGCATGGAAGGATGACGATGGAGACTGGTATGAGACAGGCTTGCATATATTCTGTAAGTTCATATTTTGTGGCTTTAAATCTTTGGAATGTTTATTACCATTATTTGGGAAGGATATTTTACTAGAGATCTTGTTCGAGTGCTTTCATGTCATAAAATTTTCAACCACAACATCCTCCACCACCTTATATGTGCTGTAGATATTTCCATGCATGGACTTTATTCAAATCTGGACAAACAATTAATTTGAAGTCTTCTTTGTCCATCTCCTGTCTAAATTATATATTTGACACTTGATGACACTGAATCACTGATTGTTTTCTTGCTTGAAGTTGGGGCTTACCCAAATGTGCAGAACCTATTTGGAGAACTTGGTATTAGCGATCGGTTGCAATGGAAGGAGCATTCTATGATATTCGCGATGCCAAACAAGCCAGGAGAGTTTAGCCGATTTGATTTTCCTGAATTTCTACCTGCACCATTAAATGGTAAACATCTTGTCACATCATTACAAGAATCAAAGCACATGGATCTTTGTTTTTGATTACCAAAGTGTGGTTTAGCTTTTATGATTGGTTCACTTCAGCTTGAGAAATGAGAGCAACTTATTACAGCTGATTAGTTTCCATGATTTAAATTATAACTTTTTAGGCTAATATTGGTGGCTACTCCTATGGAAGCCCCTATAAAAGGTCAATAGAACTTAGGTAGGCAATTTTTGTCACAAAAGCTTGAGTCTGTATTTTTTATTTAACTTTTAGATAGTAAATTATCTCTTGTCCAAGGGCATCTTTGGAAGTTAAGAGCTACATTCAAGGGCAAAAAGGTAATTTCCATCTCATTTATGCATTCACCAACTAAGGTTCATGTTTACATGCATTCATTCAATTGGAATTTCTTTAATTTCGTGATTTGATTTATAAAAATCCTTTTTGACGTGCATGAACATGTTTTTAGAATTTCCTAAATAAAAATCCTAATGCTAGAAGGACTGGGCACTTTGATCAATCGACAGATCCATCGAAGGCCACCGGCCATTTGTAGATCGATCGACACTTGGCCCAATCAATCGAAATTAGAATATTTAATTGCCAAATGAAATTAAATCTCTTTTTAGCCTGGTGTTTCATACATCATCATTGCATTAGATGGTGAAAGTATGTTTTGAGGTGTTCATCAACTAATTATGTTCTAAGAAATTTACCAACACCAAAGTTCTACCAGACATTATGTCTGGGACGAGGGCAACTGAGAAGAGAAGGCTTGAACATGAGGCTTGGACGACTAGCCATTGAAATCAATGTGCTGGAGGAGAAGCAAATCACATGAAGAGTGGATTTGTTGACGGAGCAACAACGTGGAGAGTTTGGTATAAGTTTGTATCAAGAGGTAACTAAGGGATTTTTAGGGTTTTGGAGCTGGTTAACCAAGTTGCAACATCTCTTTCTCATAGTCGATTTAATCTGCCCGGACTAGGTTCGGTGATTTTTTTCCCTTGAGATTTGCACGTAAAAAATCCATGTCCATCTTGTGGTTGATATATTTTTATGCTTTTACATGTTTTTTTATCAAGATGAATGAATTGAGTGAGTGAGTTTTTGAATTTCCGTTATATCTGTTAATATTCAGAAAGCTGTTAAAATCAGTTAATTAAGTAATTTAGATCTATTCATCCTCTTCTAGGTCTAGTCACGTTTTGCGCTTACTCAACATTAGAGATTAGAGTTTCGGTCCTAATACCTCATAGGCATTGGTACTTTTGTAAAATATGAGAATGGCAAAGTCATATTCATCTTCCTAGAGTAAGACTACAAATGTTATAATTGTGCTATCTTACGTCAAGGTGACTGCTTGATTGTGGTTTCTTGGACTAAAGAGGGATGGGGAGACGGTGAGATTTATGCACTTGTGCCACGTGTTTATGATTCCCCTTCTTTGGATTTATGATCTGCATATCTGTAACATAATTCCGAACTAGGAGAGGAGCTTTCCTTCTTAGTGATCTCTTTTTGGAAGTCGTTACATTCTTGGTTTTGGTTCTTTGTAGTTGAAAATGTCTATACACAGTAATTCTAACATCATAGTTTTGTAATATCAAATTAAATTTATATTATCAAGAGTTTGTAGGCTTATCTGGCAGTAACTTGGATTAAATTACTTTTTTTACCCTTAATTTTTAAGTCTAATAAAAAAAGAAGCATAATAGTCCTTTTATGCCCTCCCTTTGTCTTTTTATTTTTTCCTTAATCATCACCCATCTTTCTTCAATCTCTCTCTACAACCTCTCTGTCTAAAATTCTACTTTCTGTGCAAATGAATTTGTATCTTCTTCTATCTATGCTTTCTCCCTTGATAGAAATGGAACCCTAGCTCTAATTCTCTCTAAACATATACACAAACACACCAATTCTTCTTTTTCTACTAGTTCTAAATTTCTCTTGGGTGTTATTTGCGCATGTATTTGCCTCTAGACCCATATCGATAAAATTAACAACAAAAATTCAGACCAAACTTGTCTTGTTCTATCACCTAAAATGTTGTCTCCAGAAGTCCAAAGTTATTTAAACCAATGCTGCTGGTTTCGGAAGGTTTGATGAGATCCACCATATTAGCTCACATGTTATATGCTTTCATTGTAAAGAATGACAGCTACTGAAACAATTCATGCCTTTTGTTTTAAAACTTGAAAATAACCCTAATTTCCTATCTCCAAACATATACACAAACACACCAATCTCTAAACATAGAAAGACACAAGAACAGAGCATAACACAAGGAAACCCAGATAATTATCCACCATCGCTCTATTACCATTGTACAGAGAGAAGAGGAATTTTTAGAAAGAAGAGACAGGATACAAAAGAAAATAGGGAGTTAGAGAGCGAGGAGAGAGGGAGAGAGAGCCGCAGTGGCTGTGGTCAGGGGAATTTAACACACAAAGTGATGAGATGAAGTACACATGTTGCTAGGAAAAAAAAAAAATGGTTCTCGAAAAAAAAAAAAATGGTTCTCTGATGCAAGTATCAACTATATATGCATTTGGCTTTCATATGCCAGAATAAGATTCATCTTTCTGAATGGCACACTCAAGTTTAAATAATCTTTTACTTAATTTAAATATATTTAATTATGTACATAACTTTTAAATGTATTAATCTTATTCCTTTTCTTTTGGTGATTGACTGCTCCATGAAACTGTTACACTCCACATTTGTGCATCTCTGAGTGTTAACATACTATATGGTAGGGTTATTATTTTGTGGCTTAGACTTCCCAGAAGAAATCTGTCACTGAATGATGACTCCCGTCCCTTGCATGAGAACTCATGATTGGCAGAACATGATGAATGTCAATAACACATTCTTTTTTATTAGTTAAACATCAACATGTATTTGACATTGTTCCTCTTCTAATTTTAACATATGCTTCTTGTGGATGTGATTCGCAGGGATATGGGCCATCTTAAAGAACAATGAAATGCTTACTTGGCCTGAGAAAGTCAAGTTTGCAATTGGACTCTTGCCAGCAATTGTTGGTGGGCAGGCCTATGTTGAGGCTCAAGATGGTTTGTCTGTTAAAGACTGGATGAAAAAACAAGTAGGGTAGTTATTTTAATCATGCTCTCTATCAAGTTCACATTGTAGATACTAGATAGATAACAAGAGGTGGTTAATTACTGAAGTTAGCTTGACTAGATCACGAGTTTTGAATTGGCTACAATGTTGTATATCGTATTACATCATTATGTTACTCTTTTTCCTTTTATTTTTATTTTTATTTATTTATTGTGGAAAACTTTGTAAGTAATAGTTTTCTAGTTTTTTGTTTTCTTGGCCTCTCTGAAGGTCTAAGGTGCCCTTTGGCCCTTTTGTTTCCTTTTGTTTCTTTGGGCTTCGCTCCCCTTTTGAGCGTTTTTAATAAAATCTTACTTATCAAAAAAAAAAAATAGTTTTCTAGTTTTGGTAAGTGATACATTCCAATATTTTCTTCCTTAGGGCATACCGGATCGAGTAACTAACGAGGTGTTCATTGCCATGTCAAAGGCATTAAACTTCATAAATCCTGATGAACTTTCAATGCAATGTATATTGATTGCTTTGAACCGATTCCTTCAGGTAAGTTCATCCTTTACTTTCTTTTATTTATTTATTTTTTCTGTAAATGATGATTCAATTAAAAGTTGCGAATATAATACTGGTATTCAGGTTATTGATATGAATTCTGGCTTAGAGTTTGTTGCATTAATGTTACAGTAAAGTTAAAGCCAATGTAATAACATATTTCTTGGATATTCCCTTTTTTTGTACACAAATTTTTTTATAGGGACTTAATTTGTATTTATTTACTTATATACTGCTATTGTTTCCTCATTTATTTCATTTCTATTATTTAATACACTGATTCAAAATATATTAAGATAATCAACAGGAGAAGCATGGTTCGAAGATGGCTTTCTTAGATGGTAATCCTCCGGAAAGACTCTGCATGCCAATAGTTGATCATATTCAGTCACTGGGTGGTCAAGTCCAGCTCAATTCCCGATTAAAAAAGATTGAGCTAAATAAAGATGGAACTGTAAAGAGCTTTTTACTAAATAATGGGAATGTAATTGAAGGAGACGCTTATGTAATTGCCACCCCGGGTAAGCTGTTTACTTTTCTATTAGATTATATAATCCTTCCATATTCTTAACCCTAGGTTTCCAACATTGCTGATGAATTTTTTTCCCATCAGTTGATGTTTTAAAGCTTCTTTTGCCTGAAGACTGGAAAGACATTCCGTACTTCAGAAAGTTGGAGAAATTAGTTGGTGTTCCTGTTATAAATGTTCACATATGGTTAGTTATGGATTCTTTTGATGTTGCAAATGATACTCAATGATGATTAATTTTTGTATCATATTATTTTTGCACTTGAGATATAGATGGTCCCTATCCATGCAAAGCTAGGATTGGGCTTCTACTGATCGAAGATATTTGGTTTTTCTTCATTTAACTAGTGTGGCCAAGAAATTCCAATACATGAAAATGAAAAAGATTGATAGTGAGGTCTATTGCAATTTGCAATGGTCTGAAAGTGTGTTTTAGTGCAATCTAAGATTATTTATGTATCTGCCTTCATTTTCCTCAATTCCACTTCTCTTCAGTCCAGCAAACGTGTTTTGTTTTTCGCGAAGAATTGTAGTAGTCAATAATACCTGTACCCCTTTTATAACTTAATCACTTATAGTTGATATTTGAGATGATTGAGTGGGTGATGTAAGCTGACTTCAATTGCAGGTTTGACAGGAAACTGAAGAATACATATGATCATCTTCTGTTCAGCAGGTTTGGTTTACGCATATAATATCATTTTCATTTTAGAGAAGCATTTCTTTTGTTTCTATAATCTATTTGCTTCATAGTTTTGTATGCCTTCACGCTTACCCGCCATTGTCTTGAGATTGGTTTTGTGCATCTTATGGAAACAATGTTTTCACAAATTCTTTCCTCGTATACTATGGTTGGCTGGATGAGTGGAAGCTTTTCTTCTCATAGAAATTCTGAACTAGTCAGAGGTTTCATGAACATTTGCACTTACAACTTTTTAGATTTTCATGTAACCTCACAGAGGATATTGGTTGTTGAGTGAGAATCTTTGTTTTGAAACTTACCTGAGTAACCTGATTGAGATACGCGTACAAATATATATATATTTTGGTAGGTACAATTAGTTCCTATGATTGCATAAACCATGTGGCGTCTCAATTTCATGATGTTATCTATGTTTATTCAAGACTGGAGAGGAGTACTTCTTTCACTTCCAATTGTCTGTTCCTTTAATCCAATGCAGTTTGCTTATAAATCTTATATACAAGCTTCCATATTTAATTGTTATTTATTTTCTTGCAGAAGTAACCTTCTCAGTGTGTATGCTGACATGTCTGTAACTTGTAAGGTAATAGTTGTTTACCAAATCATTTTAATAGCCACTTCCTTCTAATTTATGCACTTTCAGCCACGAGAATGCCAATATGAGCATGCACATTGGATGCATGCAGCCTGGAAGGCATTCTAGGTATTTGAAGGTCTGTCATGCCTATTCTGTATGATGTTGATTTAGGTCCACCCAATTCTATCCACTAGGAAATGAAAAGGAAATATTATTTGGTAGTTGACAAGGGCTTTGTCTTATTGTTTTACGGACATATGAGTAGCAGTTTTGTTAAATAACCAGATATATATCAGATTGTCACCATATTTAACATATATTTTAAATCACATTGACAATTGAATCTAGCACCTATGTCAGCACACATTCCTCTGATTTGCATGGATTAACAGTATCCCTTTGATTTTCTTATCCAGGCATATCCCAACTAAAAAGGGTTTTACCTTTATCTTGCCTCATAGATACACCTAATTATTTGCTTGTTTTATGCAGGAATATTACAACCCAAATCAATCTATGCTGGAATTGGTTTTTGCACCTGCAGAAGAATGGATCTCACGCAGTGACTCAGAAATTATAGATGCCACAATGAAGGAACTTGCAAAACTTTTTCCTGATGAAATTTCTGCAGATCAGAGCAAAGCAAAAGTAGTGAAGTACCATGTAGTTAAAACACCAAGGTTAGACTGAAATTCCGTTTCCTTTAGAATTTCACTGAAATATGAGCATAAAAATCATGAATTAAGTTCCCATGATTAATATGTTTTCTTCTTCTGTTGTCCTTGAGATGTAGACAGCTGGGCTCTTCACTATCATATTATAATAGCTGCACAGAAAATTATAGAAATAGAATAAACACTGAACTTCTTCTCAGATTTAATTTTCTTATTTTGATTAGATTATCTTTCACCTATAAGAGTTTTCTTTACGATCTTAGTGTATCTTAGTTGTTTTAATATACTATATTCAACTTCAGATAACAAAATCCTATACTAATATAATACATGCATTCCCTATGTGTTCAATGAAAATTAGAATGGATTAGTTTGTATCAGTGAAGGGTATTGGTACTGCGGTTAATTTATTTTTCTCTTTGAACCCAATTGATTTGTTTATTTCAGGTCTGTTTATAAAACTGTACCAGGCTGTGAACCTTGTCGTCCGTTACAAAGATCTCCAATAGAAGGATTCTATTTAGCTGGTGATTACACAAAGCAGAAGTATTTGGCATCAATGGAAGGTGCTGTTCTATCAGGAAAGTTTTGCGCACAAGCTATTGTGCAGGTAATTAATTACAGAACTTGAATGTCATCTTTATGGTGGTAATTTATTTAGGCTTGAATGTGAATCGTTGCTCGAGTTGGTAGTCTCTTCTCTCTCTCTTAAATATGATATTGTTTCTCTCTCAATATGTGTATGTTGTTAAAAAGAACTTTGTTTGACTAGTAGACTTATGATATTTTATCAACTTTGCATTCTTGAAGATTGAGCATCATCTTAGTTCCTATCTATTATACCAAACTTGCGCCTCTGCTAGATATTCTCAAACCCGTATGGTTAATTATATTTATATTTGTATGTATCTTAAGGGTTATAGAACAAACCTGCAAGTTTCCAAAGCCTAAGCTTGAACAGTTCTGCTGCTTACTGACCTTATTCTTATTTAAAAAAATCCCCAATCAGTTTGTGCTGTTAGATTTCTTGTATTCTGTATGCGCTCAAGGATATGTTGTACCCAATCTCAATAATTGTAGGCTTTGCAATGACTTTTGGTGTTGCACACAACCCAAAATTGTAATCTGAGTCTTTTCCTCAACCCAAATCGACTTATTATGTTATATTGTGCTGTTATAAAACCCAGTTTGTGGTGAGAGTTGAAAGGTGGAGCGTGAGTCTTTTAATCTTTTCATGGTTGATAGTGGATTTAATATCCCTCTTCTTTATGGATGTAAGAGACTTGTTGAACCATGTAAATCTTGTATATTATCTTTAACAATCATCGATCCTATGGTATGTATGCAGCAATTCACACTATTCAGTGCTTATATATTGACTTGCTGCACTCACATATTGAATTCTGCAGGATTATGAGTTGCTTGTTGCTCGGGGGCAAAAGAAACTAGCTGGGGCGATGGTGGTATGACGAAACCATTCAAATTGGAGGAAAATTTGTGACAATACCCAAAATCCATAGAGAAATGGTACTATGTATGATAATTTGAATACCAACTTGTCCCCACAAAATGGTCATCTCTCTGGCAAAGAAATGCTCCTTGGAAGTGATTCTTCCACTGTTGTAAGTTGTTCAAATGCGAACCTTGTCTCAGTGGAAATATTTCCATTTTTAGCTGTCAGTTGTAAAACTATGGCTTTTTAATTTGTTGCCTATAGGGTGTAACATAATTGTACCAAAACATTGAAAAGTCATTCAATTGATGAGAAGGATTACACAGTCTGTCTTAGTTTGTGTACCTGGATCATTTGCAGATTCAAAAAGAAAAGAACTGAAAAGAAAAGCTATTCGTCTTTTTCATTTCTTCACTAAATTGTGAATTTTAGGTTTATGACCCAAGTAGGGATTACATTAAATATTTTGAAAGGCCTTTTAGTTCCTGTCAGTTCAAAATTTCCATGGCACATAGTTGCGACAAGAAACTAAGTATGGTTCGAATTCTCATAACGATTGACCATTGATTGTTAAACATACCACAAACCTAGCCATTCAGAAAAGGGAATGGGATATCTATGAAGCGTGAGAATGCGGGTTTGACCTAAGGCTGTATTCGGATGCATGGAATTGGAGTTTTGGAATTGACAAAAAATCGGATGCATGGAATTGAAGTTTTGAAATTAGAATTAGTGGAATTGACAAAAAAAATTAGTTCTCTAATTCCATGAAACGAACATAGCATAAGAAACATTAAAGAAATCTGTATGGACCATAAGTGTACTTAATGCTCTATACTTAATTAACGATGCACTAATTGACTTTCAATCAGTAACCTTGTTCTTTAATCATGTCCCCTTAGACTAGTGAATTGTAGCTGTTGCTACACTCTTGAACGTAGTACACACTGTCCTTGTATCATTTGTAAACTAAGCTAATGGATCACCTCGTATAGGGAATGTTCCTGGAAGGATGCACAATGCTCTTCACTTCTACAATTTATTCATAATATTTGAATATGCAACTCCTTATTGTAATACTCATTTTGTACTTGATTCACTATTCCAACATTTTGGGAAACGTTGCTTTTAATTCTATATATTTTAAAGAGCAACGATAGAAATTACTGACACCTAACTAGTCGGATGTCTCACGGGAGTCTGTGATGGGTTTCCACAACTCTTGTGAGACACCAGACAGCCGAATATCATTGTTTTCAAATTTTTCTTTCATATTTTGATTTATATAGATTGTATGTGCGTACTTAGTCATCTTGAACATGTCATGTCTATCATTTTGTCGCCTATTAGTGTTTCTAACAGTTAAACTAAACCTTAATATGAAGATAATACACATGTACTCCGTATGTACAAACGTATTTTATGTATGCATTTATGAATAGTGCTTGCTTAATTTAAGAGTTGAACACACCAAATCTGTGGAGATTAAGGTTGTCTGTGGACCATCCAAAAGATGACAAAAGGAATGTATAAAGAATGCGTGAGTTCCGGACACCAAATCTCAGTATGAAGATGGTATAAAAGTTTTCCTAACAATCTTACGAATTTCAAAGTTCTGAAGTCCATACTCAAGTTATATACATACATATGCATAACATTGGCTTTACTACTACTACTAGTAAGAACATGTAATAATATAGAATTTATCAAGGGGAGGAGGGTCAGTGGTGTGTATTGGTCATATTATATATATATATAAAGAAACTTTATGAAAGAGAATACATGGGATTATGAGCCAATTAAATTTAAATAAAGTAAACCTGCCTCCTAATTTATAAAATAAGCTGGCCGACATCCTGTTCCCATTGCCCTTCTTTGCCTTGTCTTGCCTAAACAACGCTCCACATCTCATGCCTCTTTCTAAACTACAAGCACTCAAATACATAAAAAGAAAAGACAATCATCCCTTATATTCAACATTACCATACTCATACACATATATCTATGTGTATTTACACACATATATAAATCCATGCCCACGTTCACAGCCCATATTATATGCATAAAAATCCAACCCCCACGTTCACCCCCATCCATTCTTAGAGAAAAACAATGCAGAGCTACACCTTTCCATGCAAATCCCTCAATTTTTGAACCTGACCATGTTCACCCCCCCTTCCCTTCAACCCTTTCTTGGTATAAATTCATGACTTTCACAACCCAAAACCCCTCAGCGTCTAGTCTAGCTCCATCTTGTGAGCTTTTTTTTTCTTTTCCCATATTAATTATATTTTCAATCTAAATATCAATTCTATATCAGTCATATATGGCTGAGCTGAAGCAACACTACCGCAAGAGTGGCACTTCAAAGAGAGAGGCTCATGGCTTCTCAAGGAAATGTGCTTCCTTGGTGAAGGAGCAACGAGCCCGGATTTACATCCTTCGCCGTTGCGCCACCATGCTTCTCTGCTGGTATATTCAAGGAGATGACTAGCCTTAATTCACTTCAATTATTACTCCAATTAACTTTGCTCCCAAAGTTGTTATTATTATTTTTTTTTTGACATATCTTGCAACCAAATCTTGGTTAGACTCTTCTTGGTTCCTAACATGGTGTTTTTGAGAATAACACTCTCCTTTTCCTTCTGTTGGGTTTTATCCACTTAGCCCAACATGGTTTGGTTCTATCAGCTGCATTGTGGCCTTCTTGTCACTCTCTTCATGTGTTTTTTTCTCCTAGCTTTTTGACCTAATTGGTGCCAACCCATTTGGTTTTTGGGCACATGAGAGAGGTTTATGGCCGCAATTTTCATGCTTTTTGAAGAACCAGGCATCATGTATCAACACCGATGAAGTTGATCAGGGGAGGCCTCGGCATCTTCAACGCTGCTCGGAAGCCGTTTGACCGAGTATGATTCGACATATGTGGTGTCCAAAAGAAGTTACTAGCACTTATATGCCTTGATGACATATTAACTTGTATAAGATTGCTATATGTATATTTCTGTCATTGTAAAATTTTCCCCTTTATTATTATCATGATGGAAATGTTCTCATCCAGTAAATAATAATCCACTATGAGATAATAAGGAATGAAGGGGAACAGTCCACTAGATTAAGTGTACGAGTGACATATTTTATTATAAAACTAGTGCAACTAAAATCCTTTTTTAACATAGATTTCAGATACTCCTGGCACTTTTATCATTTGGAAATTCTATACAAATCATCCTCTCAAATTAATTTTAAGGATTTAATCTAGATTTAGCTATACTTAAATAATTAAACTTAAATCCTTCAATCCAAAAGGAGCCCTTTTCATGGACCTTGAAGCAATCTCTACCCTATATTCTCTAACATTTCCTTGGTATATCTACATTGCAAGTAGAGGTGCCCTAGAGAAGATTCAGATCTCTTTGGAAGAATCTCAGAGACCCATCAACGCACAAAATAGATTCCTGTTCAAAAGAGTACATACAAGCCAAAGCAAATCCCAACAAAAAGAAATTATTTAAGAACATAAACCTAATTGAAATAAAAATTCAACATCAAACTATAAGTCAACAACTAAGAAAGAAACCAATTAACACTTGAGGCTTCAGCTCAAGCGTATCACCTCATCTTTTGATATGGGAGGTTGCAGGTTGAAGTTTCCATGGTGCAAGAGTAAGGTTTGAGCCCACTTACCTAACGATACAATAAAAAATAAAATAAGACTGTAATTGTAAGAAAACGAAATATTGAGTGATTGTTCATACAACATTTGGTGCTGCAAATTCATTTCTAAAATCGGATCAGGTCAAACATAAGATTTTAGATGGAATTACATTATACATGCAAACTGTCCATTGCAGACCTACATAAAATACATATACAACAGAATCCATGGGGACAGCCAGAGTACGTGGCAGATATCTTAGATCCTATGTTTGGACAAATCCTATCTTCAAAAACTTGGATGAACAACAACAAACAGAATACAGCTTTTGGGACTAGAAAAAGAAACCTATTAAAATGACAAAATTTCAGCTTGGAGAACTTACAGACAACGGACACATCAACTCGAGTTTGTCAACATCTTGAGCTTGATCCCATCTGATCATTGCTCAAGGAAAATTTATTTGTTGTTGGGTAATAGTTACAAATACAGAAATATCGCACGATGATCAGACTGCAACAACAGGCTTACATGCTTAATTTCAAACCGGCACTGAACTTCTAGTCTGTTATCCCATCCGTCCTATTCAGCAGGTAGCAATTGAAGTGGGAATCAAGTTGGTAATGTTCGAATATGACATCATTTGTCATTCCAATCCTTGAACAGCAACATCACATAGAGAGGAACGTTCACTGCAGCAATGACTGTAACCAATCGAAACATACGAACCAATCTCCGGATCACTATTTTAGTCTTTGATTTGTTTGATCTAGTTGGCAACTTTGCCATAGGATCCATTCCCATGTGTTCACTAACATCTGCATGCGTTGAGCCATCCATCTCCAGCGAAATATGTTTTTTAGCTACTGATCGCATCTCAGCATTGCCCCTGAAACCAGGGGAAAGAAGATCGCATAACTTATCAGTACTGAATCTTTTGGTGCTGTAATTCCTACTAATGTATAATCACACAAGGATAGAAGCAGCAATAAATAAAATATTGCGATAATTACAGGAATTTTAAATACATGAAACAAAATTAATTCGGAAAATTAGTAAAGGCGGTCGTGGACATTTATGTTGACTATTCTGAGTGTCAACAAATTGAGGTGGTTGCACTAAGAGGTCTCCTCTCTAGAAGCCCAGCACTCAAAATCTCTCTCTTTCACCTCTCCATCTTGTCTCCAAGCTCCAAATTGAGTTACAAAAATTGTTTCATCCCAATCTTCTCACCTCAGTCAATCAGTTACCTCTCTCCTTTTTCTTTTTCTTTGTTCTTCTTTTACCCACTTAGTTTTGTCTCCAGCAGGTGCATCCATTTAATCAATCAATGTTCAAAACCAAAGATATATTCTAGCCACCCAAATGGCCCAACCAAAATATTTCTTCTATAGTCGGTGAATCGTGAGAGTGAACCTTATACAAGCAGATTGCTGGAATTGTTCCAATATTAGGATCTAAGGATATAAAGATGCAAGCGAACTGTATAGCATTACATCACAATATAAGTATGTATACGGACATAAAGAAGTTTATGAATTGATAGGTATGCTTGCCGATGCTTGCACCTACTATGCTGAGAACAGAAATAGATGAACGACTACTTGTCCTAACACATCAATGTGTCTCATTGAGTGTGACATTCAAATCCTATATGAGTGCCGATGGCACCTACTTATTTTTCCTAACACATCTCATTGAGTGTGACTTTCAAATACTATCTTTACATGGGAACAGTTGTTTATCACGGATCAGTCAAGGAAGTGCAAGCAGAAAGTAGAGAACTGAACACAGGTCCAGCCCCAAAAGTAGGCCTAAACAACTGAAACGCACCTTTTTACAGAACCCTTCTCACTTGAACTTGTAGTGGGGGCCCTCGAGGCTTTCTTGATAAGGTGCATTGATCCTTCTGCATCCCAAATCATCTCATAGTCATGGTTCTCATCTTCATTTTTCTCTTTTACTCCACCTCCAGAAATGTGGCAATTAATTAGACTTCTTATATGCCCCACAAGACCACCAAAACGATGTGAAATGTCAATTCCGTTTGTTGGCCAAAGGAGCAGAACAAGAAGAGTCAGAAGAAACAGAAAAAGGTACCTGACATTGTCAGCAGATGGAGTTCAGAATAATAGCCAACAAGAAATTATATTTTCACGACCTCCCATTATTCATCAACATGATAAATTACCATATGTAGATGAATGTTTGCACTGGAAGAAAGCACAGATGAGTAGATATTGCATCCTCTAGACTGGATGCATTTGGAAATGAATGGTTACTTGCAGATAACAGCATGAAAGAAGGATACAAATTCCCCTGCTGCCAGCTTATGGTCCCTACAGTATGCTGCACAATATCATCAATCAAATATCACACAAACAGAAAAGTAATCCAAAATTATCAGGTGCTTACCTCTCTTACAGGGCCGTACTTAGACATGTGAGTAACTGTACACTGATCATGATCATGACCAGACAGGACAAGTACCTGCAGAAACCACAAAATAATGCATGTAAAAGTAAAGTTCCCTTGATCATTTTATTATTGTATTTTTTTTTTTTTTTTTTTTTCAATAGTAATTTTCTGTTTTTACTTATGCATCAAAGAGGGAAGAAGGAAACATACAGGTCTGATCAAATCCAGCAAGTCGTTTGTTTTTCCCTCAGAGATATAATTTTGGAACCTATACGAGTGGATCAATTGTCAAAATGCACCCTCAATAATCAATAGCGTAAGCATACAAACTAATGTAATCCCAATGAGAAGGAGATAAGAAGTTTACAATATTTGATCACGAACAGCACGAACCCTCTGAATAGAATAAACAAATATTAGTAAGTACAACTACTGACAGATGATTCACCACCCCCCACCCCCCTCCCCCACCAACTAGAGTGAGAAAACTACAAAAGAAAATCATACCTGATTAACAATTGGGGAATAACGATTTGGACCACAAAAAGTGTCATCGGGCCGAAATAGTGGGATATGAGTCAATAAAACTCTTGGGGTTGAATTAATATCTAGACGAACACAAAGGACATTACTGAGTTATTATCATGTTGTATGAGCAAACTCAACAATGTATGAAGTTGTATCTCATACCCTTGGAAACATTTTTGACAAAATTCCAGGTTGCAGAAGTCAGGCTATCTTGTGAAGGCCCTGTAAATAAGATATATCTCGCCATCAAAGTCTTTAAAATAACCCCCGGCCAGAAGAATTCATTGGTTTTCAGAACCCAAAAAAACAACCCTATATGCATTTGTAAGCAGAATGAAACACTTGAAATCCCATGCAAATGCAAGGTACTCCAGAAGTAAAGAGGAGAATACTCCCACTAGATGACTTGCAAGAGGTCAATCTAAGACGATGATTATCAATATGAGATTATTATGAGAAGTACAGTTTGATAACTAAGGATTTTACCTTAATTACTAGAAATTAGCAAGAAGACTTTAGTCATTCCACTCCTGGCTATCAAAAGTTAAGTTCTTGAATATATGAGAAATGAAAGTAGAATTAGAATGACGGGGAAAGTTTGAGAGAAAAGATGTAAAATGAATTAGTGGTGCATAGTCAATATGTTTATTTCATTTGACAATTGCAATCACAAATATCTAGTGTGTCTGTAGACATCTCAGGGATATTATTGATCAGTTGGCTCTGTCAAATAGTAATTGAAGACACAAGTTAGTTACATGGTATGGAGGCATCATTAGAAACTAGAGTGTGTAGGGAAATCCTAAGTTTCCTGATTTGAGACAAGTACAGTAACAAGATAAAAAATAAAAACCCATTTATGCAACAGAAGACAATGCATTCATTTCAAATGATGTTATACACAAGACACTGATTAAATTCCCAAGTTACATCCCATGCCCACTTAAATTTCAATGGAACCACACACAAATTGACCATTCTCAGTGCACAAATGATTCGCATATGGAAGTAGCCACTCCCACGTTTCGAGAGCAAATCTGCAACTTCGGATCGAATCTGCCAGAAATCCGTGGATTCATCACTCTTTGGCATAAATCCAGATAGAGGGCATGTTCATGTGGATCCAGCTGACCTGATGCAGCACATTTTGTGTAATATGAAATTTTAACTACCATAATGCGAGTTTCAAGGATTGAACCTGCTGCAATATGTTAAGGGGTAGAGTAGTACACCACGTCTTTGTTTGTGAATAATATAATACACATATATATAGCATACAAACGCACTAACAACTCTCCCGCTTTAAAAAATATATATATTGTTAAAAGCTCTCATGCTTTTGCTCCTGCTTTTGTTCTCACATCCACTTTATGCGACTTAGAGTACAACCCTTAAGACACTAATTCATTGGAGTTCAAGAACTTTATTTTGAATGGGCATACCCTAGTTTAAGTTGTTATGTGTAATGAATGTGGAATTGTGACCAAGAACAAGATTAGGAAACTCATCACAACACAACAAAATACTAATCACTAAATGAATGTAACAGCTTATTACTACAATCAAGACATGGTAGCCAGACTGAAATGAAAGAATGCCTAAACAGGAAATACAAAAAATAGAATGCGGGCTAAAACTGCTACAAAGGAAAAAAAAATTCCCAAATTAAAAAATGGACCACAATAAAGAAACTAAAAGAAAAAAATGAGCTAGATCAAAGAGATGTGATAAAAGAAGAATCGCATGGTGAATTAAGGGGAAAAATACATATGAAAAGCAAAGGTTATTAATGGCATGAAACCAATTAAAACTGCTATTATCACCAAAGAATTCTAAGCTTGCAATGACAGAATTTTGCAAGTCAATTATGGGAGCTTGCAACTCACCACTTGAGACAAAACAAACCTCAAAGTGGCTTCTCGTGATTTTGCGAAATGAAAAATAACATAATAAGAACCAACCAATACACCAAACAGTTGATTCATCATCAAAGGGTGAGTTGTCCAAAAGAAAGCCCATAAATCTATCAACAAGAAGGAAATCATTAGCAATAATCACAATCCAGAGACTACTGCATGAAACATATTAGGTGGACAGACGCTTTATAAGGGAAAACCTGGATTTTGATTAAATTTGAATTTGTAATCTATGGTAAATGCAACCAAAAAAACAAAAATAAAAATAAATAAATAAATAAAAAGAAGAAGAAGAAGAAGAAGAAGAAGAAGAAGAAGAAGAAGAAGAAGAAGAAGGCCGTGTTGCAAATGTCTCACGTCTTTCAGCTCAGTGGGATCCAGAGAAAAAAAGATCTACCAACCAGTTCTATGCGGCAAGATCAACAAAAAAAATAGGCTCAAGAGAAGAACCAGTTTTCTTCTTCTTATGTATCCCCCTATACATCAAAATATAAACCTTTTTTCAAATCAGAAAGTAACATTTCTATTCTTAAGTAGGCCTGCACCTTTTAGGTTATCCGGAAGGAATAATTCTTAAACCCAAGCCAGCTTCATCCTTCAGTATACATTGGACCAACTGATCGTATGGATCTTAAAGGTGGGTTCGGGGACCATAAGAAATCCCGAATGATCAATGCAATGGATTTGAAGATCTTCTCCGGAAGCCTTATAGCGGATGACAAATAGATGTGAAGGCCTGACCTTTTCCTCGCATGCAAGCACTAAGAAGATGAACTTCAAGTGTAAAGGACTATAAAATGGTTCCCAGAACATGTTATTTTTACCAGTGAGTTAATTGTAACACTGTTAGGGTAATATTTCTTAAACCTAGCCACTTGCTGCCACAATAGGTTCAAAAAGTAAAGAATAGGACTCAAAGAAACAAAATGAATTAACAAAAATTTAAAAATCAGTCCATCAATCTAATCTGACTTAGATAACCTATGGTACCATCAATAAATTTCTGCACATGAAGTATATTAGAACAGGATTTATTTACATGGAATAAAAGGCAGATATGGCTAGTAGGAAGATATAAAGACTTAAACTGTAGACCCCAGATTACAGCCACACCTTCGCAGACAATAAACATTATTCAACAGCTATCAAACTATTGGAGAAAATTCTATATAGTTATGGGGACAAAATAGTAAACAACAGGATAAAAAGTTTATGGTCAAGAGCAACTTTCTTTACCATCCAGAGTTTGGGCATCAATAGCAATGAAATCAACTTTTCCAACTTTAAATTTGTAGTTCCTTGCATGAAATTCTTTTTCATAGCGTCTGGTAACCTATACAAAGGTAAAGCAAAAGACAATAAACTAAGAAGATATCATTGTGGAAGAACAACTGGAAGCAACAAAAAATGCATCAATAATTACTGTGTTGATGGAGATATTCTGTAGAGTACAAATTTAGATGGCCTTTCATGCAGAAAGTGCAGATATCTGCATATAGACTAAATTCTAGAGATCCATGAAAAAGCAAAATAAATTCATTCCGTATATAGTCACAGCTTTACATACTTAGACCCCAAATAACTAGAAAAATTTAACCCAGTGCTCGAAATGAACCAAGCCAAGTTGTGGACATCTTAGGATGGGCTTCATGTGACTTTGCCATGTGCCAAGCTCTGTACGAGCTTAAGACATTGTGTTTGAGCTCAACAAGAGCCTGAGCTCCACGTGGAAATGGCAATGGCTTCCAGAAATTATAATAAGCTAAGCCATGCAATATTGACAAGAGCAGGCAGTTTCAAAGAAGAAAGACATGGAAGGTGTTATTTATTTTTTCCCTGAACTTTAAATAAGAAATACTGCTTGCACACATACCTGAACGTAATAGGCAATGCTCACTGATGCCCTAATCTTGTAGTTTTTCTAGGCATAATATAAAAATGCTAAGAAGATCTGCATACATAGGCTGAACTCTGCTAATTAACTTCCCAAATGAGTTCAAACTTACATTGTAAGTGTGCCAAGCCTGTGCTGCTCATGAACTATTACGTTCATTTGCAGCCCTACTAATCTTACATTTTTTGTACTGTATATAGATACAAAAGTTAAAATAATCCCAATCACAACTCTAGTCATCATCTTAGATGATCTATAGGCCCCATTGCAAAGAAACATGGTTACATAGACAAAGCCCAAGTGCTGAATTTATCTAATGCACTTCAATTGCCTATTTTAACTCTCCTTTCTCTGTTAAAGCTTCTTTCTATTTTGGTTTCACACTTGATTTGGATTCATTGATGTAATAATCTCCTATGTTACGTGGCACTTCTAAAAACATGGCTGTGTCATACACAAACCCAGGGGGTTATGTGGATGGGATGTGCGTCCATCACTTCTAGTTGGACATGTGCCTATCAAGCATATCCGAATATCCAATATTTAAGTTTACTATGTAAATTTACAAAAACCTCTTAGCATTATATCCTTAGTTACATATCTTAAGCTCCAACCCCTCTTTTAAGTCCTCCATCCAGCTAATTTTATTTTCCTTTTCCGCTCAAAGGTAGTTGGCTTCAATTTTTATATTCATGTTCATGGTGATAATTGCAAGTTGGACCTAAGGGCTTTCAAGTGCATCTTGTTAGATTTCTCTCCAATCAAAAGGACATTAATATTATGGTCACCAACAAATAAAATGCTTTTCAGTAGGGATATGACCCTCTGTAGTTTGTTCGCCAATTTATCAATTCAACCTGCACTTTAGGCCAGCTATTAAAGCGAACAATTTCTCTGTCTACAAGGACCTCCTATTCCTACTACAATTACCTCAGAGGTATTCATGATGCTCGTTCTAGTATGGCATAATCAGGAGACGTGCTTGATTAAATAACTCCACCTGTACTTTCAAAGGAAGACAGACACACACTGAGGTACCTCAGCAAGCTGTCAAAGAGATCTACTCCAATTCTGAAAACTTTTCTTCTTCAAGGTGATCTCAATCCACTCTTTTATCTACCCAAGTACAAGCAACACTGATATAATCCCTCTTACATCACAAACCCTTTTAACCCCAAGGGCAAGGTCACTTGGCCCTGGTGCCTCATGAAGCATCAGGTCTGAGGTTCGGCTCCTACTGAGTGCAAACAATTCCTTGGGATTACGCCTCCGCGGCCATACTCCGTGACTTACCCGACCCGGGGTGGGAAGGTGCCCTTCCTGGGTCCTTGGGGATTAGTCGAGGCAAAGACCTGGATACCCCAGGTTACTCCTATGAAAAAAACACTGATATTTGTAATGCTTTAGGGGAAGGAGTAAGATATAAAGTCAATACCATGTCAAATTTTGTATACATGAATCAATCTTTGCTTCATTGTATAATTCAGGGAGTTTGTTTTAGCAAGGAAATAAAGGATATTGATATTCCCAGTTTGTCTTCCAATAGGCTATTAGAAATCTTGGCAACTTCAATGCTTATCTTCTTAGATACCTCTTCCTCACCTACTTCCTTCACCATCCATAAAATGTGAATCAATAGAAGCCGTAATTGTATATTTTTTACAAACCGGTGGAGAGACCCAATCTATTAGTTATCAAACTTTAAATTTATCTTCCGTGACAAAAATTTGATAACCAATCCTCTACATAAGATAAACCAAGTATTTTCTTAAAGATCAAAACTTGTTCTACTAAAAATATTAATGCACTTCGTGCTAGGTTGCTTGAAAATAAGAGATAAAGCACAAAATCGATTTCCAAGCATCCTGATCACAAAAGAGAAGAACAAAAAGACAAAGAAGAGAAGAAGAAAAATAAGTGTGAATATAATACATCAAAGCTCTCCAAACCCAAAAATTATTATCCTCCATAAAGCTCTAGTTTGAGACTTCATACAGGCTTATTCCTTGACTTGAATTTATAAAACGAAACCTAACCTAATACCTGAAGTAGGACTTGGAATCACATATCTAACTGCGAGTACCTCTTAAAACTTGATTCTAGCTACCATGGAAATTTCCACATGAATGTATATTGCAAGTGATTCCAAAAGACACAAATAGCTGAAAAGAATATGCCCTAAAACTAAAAGACCACCTAAGAAACATGTTTCTTACCCTAAAGTCGGGGAACAAATTACTCCTAATAAGGGCACATAATAATGAATTGAAAGAAATGTTAAAAATAAAAAAGATTTTAAAACACACACACACACACCCCCCAAAGAAAAAAAATGCAAAGCAAAAACATAGAAATAAATTCATAAAAAGTTTCTTAAATGTAGGCGGGGGCAAGGAATTTAGAGACAAAACTTTCTCCAATTTATAATTCAATATAAAAATAATGAGTAAACTGTATTGCAGCTTAGATTTTAACTGACATACAATAGACACTGTCAAGACACTTTCACCTTTCAAGAACAGATCATATTCTGTGGAATAGCACATTAACATACCCTTGGCATATGAGACTGAAGAGATCCATAGCCGATATCATGGTTCCCTGGAAGGTAGTATACTGGGATGTTTGCATTCTCAAGCATAGTCAGGTCAAAGATTCGCTTAAAACGGCTCAAAGATTCCTGCCATCTGTTAACCTAAACATATCAAATTCTTCCATGGCAAAAACAACCATAAGAAACTCAACCAAATCATAAATGACTTTTATCACCCAAAACTAGAATATAAGCCAAAGCAGAAAGAAGTTCAGTGTGATGTAATGAATGTGGCAACACAAATTAATATCAGGACCAAAAGGGAAAGGAACAGAAACTAAATATAGCAATTGAAGCAGCATATTTAAATTAAATAATATAATACACATTGATGGAATACAGAAATACAATTGGAGAAAGAAAAAAAGTCAAACATTCCAATTCAGTAAAGCAATCTAATGTTAGATCCGGCCATCTGATATACCTACAAACTTCAGGATGCTTGCCATAACTTCTGTAAAAATATATGCCCAAACTAATAATTGGTTCGATGGCCACTACAAAAAACATAGTTGCAAATAATGTAGTAGGTACTTATTGTACTACAGTCCTGAATAACCAAAAAGGCCTAAATTACCAGGGGGAAAAAAAAACCAAAAAGGCCTAGTTTTCTACAAAATGCCTGCTTCTCAGACTTGAATCTGCATTCTCACACTTCTCAACCTGATCTTTGCCATAATCCATTGCACCAACCAATGACTCCTTAGCCCATAGAACCAAAACATAGATATTAAAAGTTATTTCATACATTTAGAACATAAAATGAATTGCCACCTTCTTTTAACTCTTCCAAGATACTATTAATATCTGAAAATGGTGAAACAGAAAGTTTTCTAGTAGAGTAAACTAATAAAATGCATCTGCTAACCTATTATAAACAGCTAATTTACTTTTTTAGTAGAATTACAGAAGTCCAAGACTTACTCTTCATCAGATAGAACAGGGCCCCCATCAAAATAGTCACCCAAGAACAGTATCACATCAGGTTTGAAAGGCAAAACAGATGCCATGAATGCTCTGCGCATGAACAAATCCGTATAGAATTGTGCAATCTCCAGAGCGAGTGATTTTGGAGCAAGATGAAGAGAGGTTTTATCCATGAGCTGTAAAATAAAAATAAAAAAACAAGTATTATAGTGAGGAGTTCTAAAAGGCAGACCCGGATATAAAAAAAACTAATAGTAGTTTTCTTTCTTTAGAAATAGTTACCTGTGGATCAGTGAGAACAGCGACTTTCACATAATCACTTGGATATTGTACTCCATTAATCTGAATTTGAAAACAAAAGTGTTAGCATATATAAATATTTGCGCATATGATTTCATTCACATATACAAGAAGTGGTGTTTGCACGATATGGGTAGAGCAACCCATGTAGATTATAGAGTAAAATATTCAAGGCGGATAAAGAAGAGGAAAGAGCTAGTCAGTGATGGAAATGTGGGAGGGAGCAAGACTGCAAGAGTGGGAGATGAGAGCAAGAGCATGAGAGCAGTTGAAAATTCTAAAGATTGAGAATATATATATATTTTTATATGTGCGTTGAGTATTCTCTAATCATAAAGTATAGAGTTAAATGAACAAATAAACCAAAAAAAAAAAAAAAAATGAAGGAAAATACAAGAGATGGAGTGGCTCAGCTATACAAAGTAGTTACTTTAGTTGGCCATCCGTTCTCATCTTGCGCTCACCTTTCAAGAGCTGTTTAGACTTAGAAACTTATTTCTCTCACTGGTTAGGCTTAGGTGTATAAAAGTGCACCAAAGGCGTTACAGATGGCAATTAACCATTAAGCGAGGAAAGAATTTGTATATGATCCTCAAATTGATACCTGAATTCACTCTCGGACAAGCTGATACCTAAGTTTAGAGCACATCCATCCATCTAAGTGGATAAATTAGTGCACATAGCGAGAGAGAGTAGAAGAGATATAAGATCCGTGTAGCCAACCCCAAGTAGCTGGGAAAAGGCTTTGTTATTGCAAACATGAGATGTGGGTGACCAAACTGAAAGAGTTGGTAAAATTACATACATGAACATAATATTGCAAACAAAACTATTCAGATAAATGTAAATACAAGGGCAGGTTTTATGTCAGAACTGATAACTACCTCAGGAAGCTTTGCATTCTATTAAAATAAAGATTTTAAAGACATACATACACACATATATAAGTACATATGAGCGCAGTAGTCAGGAAGCTTTGCTTCCTATTAAAATAAAGATCATACAAAAATACATAAACACATATACAAGTACATATGAGTGTTAAGTATCGAAAATTGTTGTAGCTCGTAGCACGACACTAGGTGCTAAAAATAAGGTAGACAGTGGACCTCCAAGGTCTGGTCCCATGTTCAGACTATGTCACAAGGGTAAGAAGACAGATAAGGTTTGCTAGCAGTTTCACCTCCCATGTATTGAAAAGAGGGCACCACAGGTTCTAATTCTTTCCAAACTTTAAACATGCATTATGGCTTATTCAAATGAAAAAATAGAGCATAGTTAAGAATAATAGGGATGCAGATAGTCACTTTCACATGTACAAAGCAGATTTCATGTGTCAAAAGTGCAGACCAGGATGACACAAACCAACTGACATATCTACAAATGAAAAATAAATAAATAATGGGGAGAACTTACTAGAAAATTTCATTTAGAAAGACGGGGGTGAGGGGGAGAAAACTTGATAGAAATTAGGAGAAAAGACTGATTACATTTATTGGACAATTCAATGCTTATTTTCATGTGCGCAATGGACCAATTTATTGACATCAAGGTAATGATGGCAAGCTGTTAATTCTGAAAAGGACCTCTAGTGTGCAGTAGTGATGGCTAGAGAACCAAAGGCCCTGCTTCAGAAATTCCAACCTTGATTGACGATTGTAGATTCTTAAGTATCCACTAGTATAAAAATGGCACGCATAATTAGAAAAACACTAAAGTATAATGGATAGGGTAAATATGACGAGTTATTACTGCTAATGAAAGCTAGGAAATTTATTTTAAGGATGAAAATATAGGATTATTGACAAGTTCATTAAATCGAACAAGCAGGTCACAAAGATCCAATGAAACACAACAAAATAAGATATATGATGACAAAATTCTGAGAAGAGTGTACTGGGATGCAGAAGCACCTACCTGCAAAAAATTAAATAAAGGATAACTTACAAGTACGTTAAATGAACAAGCAGGTCACAAAGATCCAATGAAACACAACAAAATAAGATACAGTAGTGTGAGGATGTTACAAAAATCCTTGGGAAGGATCAGCCAGAACAATTTAATTGTTGAATCATTACACACACATGATGACGAAAATCTGAAAGGTAGTGGAATTGGTGGTTATACACCAGATATCTGAACCAGTAGACAACTCTAAGTACTTGAAGGCAGCTTCTTGTTATCAAATCTAATTAATGGGGTGAGAGATTGCAATTACATTGTAGAAGCCACATAGACCATTAAATCTAATTAGGCAATACACCAGGCAAGAAAAGTTAATAATACCAATAATCATTTAATAAAGCATATTAGGAATCCAAAAATTCAAATGAAACAAATTTGAGCTCATAAGAAGCAGACAATTTGAAAAATGGACCTTCAATTAAAGGCACTATAGTATCTCTGATTAGTGTATCGTCCTCAAATGTCTTGAAGTCGTGATTGTCACTGAAATTTCATTAGTGAGCTAAAGAAAAACCCTTAACGCCACCAAGCACTAAGCATCCCACAATTCAACAAACAAAATGATGGGAAGAATTACGGCGGCAAGAACTTGGTGCACGGAAGAATCAGACTCTCAAATTCTAGGAAACACCACTCAATTAGGAATCTAGGCATTGGTAGCATCCCAGCTCGTGCGAGTTAATAGTTTTCTGTCTCTCCTGGTGTATGCCAATCCTTATTGTCATTTGTGGACAAGGCTTTGGATGCAATATTGCTCATGCCGGTCACATTTCACCAATTATGTTACCTCTGGTGCTATGAAATCAAGAAGGCCATACTTCTGACTCTGCATTTCCTAGCCTTATGTGGCCCAGCATAGATCATTATATTTAATGTTTGCAAAAAGTTGAATTGATAAGAACACACGCAGGTAGAGAGTGGACCATTGCTTTATTCACCGGACCATGATAGTCCATTGAGCTTTGAGCACCTTAGCCATGCTAGATTTTGTGGGACTCGTATGGGTTATTTTGATATATGAGGGCCTTGTTGCAGCAATTCGTTATGGAATAGGATTTGCACGTAAGACTACTAATATCGGTCAGCCCCTGCTCTCATTCATGAACTACAATATCCCCATTTACTTTAGTGGGATAAAAGCTAGAAAAGAGAGTAGAAAACTTCAGAATCCCATTCATTCTTTTATAAGGATGTTCTCAGACTGGTCAATAGGGCATGTTGCTTTTGCTTCTGTTAAAGAGGCACTGTTATAGGCGTACTTGGCAAACAACTAAAAAGCTTCATCCGCTTTTATTGGTTTAGTCCCCACGCATAAGAAGTTCTTGCAACTACTCATGTGCAGCATCCAATGGATACAGATTTACACCATAATTTTTTTTTTTTTTTGCTGATTATTAAATAATTTAAATATTCATGTATCCTATATTAATCACAAGCTTGTGATCGAGGCAAGTTAAATTATATGAATATTCGCATTGCCCATATCAGCCATACACCGTACTGTTCTGGCAAATATCAGCAAGACCGAGTGATCATCGTCTTCTTCCAACATAGAAATTTGTGATATTTGTGGTTGTCAACCGGCACCCAGCAGTATATACAAATGCATCTATCATGCCTTACGGAATCAGTTCATAGTGAAACATCATACCTGTCTTGGAAAAATAGATCATTGGTTTTCGTTATAGGTCTCAACATAATCAGGACTTTTAAGGATATCATGCAACTAAGCAACTTCCTCTATTAATCTAGGACCAGGATAACCCGAACTAGTGCAAAGAAAACCCAATTAAGCACTGAGAAGCAATAATCCCCTTGTCAACCAAACCCTTAAAGTCATCTACCAACACTAAATCCCATTAAATCAACTCTTCAACAAATTCCACATATAAATTTTCTGGGTTTTAGTCTTTAATGTGTACTTCCTAAGCACAGATGATAGAGTGTCGGATAGGAGTTCTGTCATACTCCATTGGTAAATCAAAAGATTATACAAAAGGATACATGAGCATTAATTGTACTAAAATTGATAAGAGTTTTCCATATACTCGTTCTGATAAATCATTGATTTGTCATTATTATAGCACAGATTCTTACTTAATTTTCAACAACAAAACTAGAAAGAGTGCAATTGAGAAAGAACAGCGTGTCAATCTGACTCGAGAAGTCGGTGTTAAGTTTGTGAAAAATCAAATACAACCATAAAAACTAAATTAATGACAATATGGAACTATGGTTAAATAAAAACTTGTTCATCCAGAGAGATAGAGAGAGATTTGAGCTGTTACCTTGGAAGGAGTAGTGGATGATCGGAGGAGATGAGGCCACGAACAAGCCCAGAGAGAGGGTACCCAAAATGACAACATCTCGCCGTAAAGAAGGCTCACCGCCCATACTATGCAAAGAAATGTCGTCAGGTTCCACATCCCCTCTCTCTCTCTCTCCTCTCCTCTCCTCTCCTCTCTGTGCTTGCGCTTTTGCCTCCGACGCAGGCTCTAGATATATACGGAGTATATCTCGGAGTATAAATATATACTGTCCTGTTTTAACTTTTGACTTCGACCTCAGGTTGTTGACCCATTTCTTATTATGGTTAATTACCCAACCGGGTAATACCATATCTAATTTGGGTTGTCTTGTCAAGAGGAGAGGGAAATTATTGTGATTTTAAAAAATCATTACATCTATTTCAACACCTTTGTCTTTAATTTTTCAATTAGATGTAATGTCTTAAAAAAATATACTTTATATCATGTTAAAAAATGTACAATAAAACAATTTGTGCTTGTTCGTTATAATATGCCATTTCCATTCAAATTCCATAATGCAATTAAAAAAGTTGTCAATTAATCTTCCAAATTAGCAACTTAAATTTTTATTTTTATATTTCAAAAAAAAAAAAAAAAAAAAAAAAGACAAACACACAAAATACACCTACAACATACCATCAAAGAAGCTTGAACTCTCAAATTCTCTTTTGCTAAGGAGAGATTTTTTCTTTTTCATTATTTTATTTTAAAATGATAAATTGTTGGGATGAAATTTATTAGGGATGCTCGACATTCTCATGATGATCATGATAGACTAACAAAATTTTCAATATGGATAAAGACCTAGCAACCATCTACCCAAAAAAAAACATTTATGGAATGTAGTATAAAATAGAGGGTAAATTTGTGTCTCTAAACACCTAGATAAATAAAAGCGTGAATTATGATCTAAATTATTGATGAATATATATAAACACGCCTAAATAAGATAGAAGTGTGAATTATGAATTAATCATGTGTCGTGATCGAGATTTGACTTGGGAACTTGTAAAAGCGTGAATGAAGCTCAAGAAAAGGGCTAAACTTGAATCAATATTGCATCAATTTTCTAGCACTATTTGTTATTCCTTTAGGTCAGGAATATTATGTAAATACTGTTTATAAATGAGTTGACACAGGTAATGTGTAGGATGTAAACACTAGACTTTTCATTCAATTCTAGTTGAGAGATTGCTGTTGTATTTTTGACTCGAATTGTGTGACGGCCCTGATTTTCAGGCCAGTGCGTCAGTGATGAACCGAAAGGATAATTCGATAACGGATCCGAAATGCGAAAGCAAAAAAAAAAAAAAAAAAAAAAAAAAAAAAAAAAAAAAAAACAAGTCTCTAAGAAGTCAAAGTGACCTTCCATAAGGTTGTGGAACTCAATGAGAACTGATGCGGAAGCAAAAGATCGAAAATATGACAAATAAGTCCCCAAGAGCAGAACAGTTATTTTACATGAAAATGACGTCCCTACAATGTATATTATTTCCAAGACACATCCATAACTTCCCGTGAAGTCACGGAACTCAAAAGAAAATAGCAGAAGCGAAATTACAAGAAAACTGGACAAAAATAGCCCCAAGGGCAAAATGGTCATTTCTAAAAAAATATAAAATTGGGTGCTACTGAGCACACCACTGGGAAGACAGCAAAAATTTAATCAATTTGGACTCAAGAATCACTTGATTCGGAGTCCGGATGAAAGAGAAAAGTCAAAACAAAGTTTTGACTTCGCCGCGACCGTGAATAGTAACCTGGGCAAAATGTTGAAATTAGTATGCCATTTTGAGGCACTAAACAACGTTTTCTGGAAAAACATGAAAAAGAAACCCCCCTTAAAATAATTTTTCCAAGCTGACCATGTTAAAAGAAAATTTTATTTTCGACATAGAATCCCCAGAATGCCCTTACAACAGACTTTTTCAAATAGTGCTGATATGCACAGGAAATCAGATTTGACACGGTGTTTTCGGGTCCGAGATGACATTTTCTGGAAAAATATTGTAAAGAAACCCCCCCTAAAATCACGTTTTCTATGTGACCATATTAAGACCGGAATTTATTTTTCAAAAAAAATTCCCGAAATGCCCCTAAATCAGTTTACGCCAAGAGGGTTAAAATAAAAAGCTGCTACATGATTTTTTTTTAAATCTGCCAGAACAGAGAGCGAAAACGGGTTAGTAGATGAATTTTTCTGGAAAAACACAAAGAAGAAACCCCCTCAAAATTAAGTTTTCTACCTGACTCGCGAGAAAATTAAAAAAAAACTCACTGTAAAACACCAAAAATGCCCCTCCATGAAATCTGGTCATGAAGGCCAAAAGGCTGCTACAATTGAAAACAGAAAGCTGAACTTCCTGAAGGATTTCCGATACCAAGATGACATTTTCTGGAAAAACACGAAGAAGAAACCCTCCCTAAAATCACATTTTCTAAGCGACCATATTGAAAGAAGAAAATAAAACTGATGTGAAAAGTCTAAATGCCCCTAGATCAGATTATATAACAAAGTTTCAAAATGAGTCCATAGGAGGCTCATTTCACCAAAGAAGAAGGTTTACCCGAAAACGACCATGCACGCAAACGTAACTTACCTATTAGGACGTGCTACAATGATCCATGGCTTAAAAATACTACCAATGCAAAATTTGAACCCCCAACGGCCAAAAGGGCGAAAATGCACATGAAATGAAAATTTTGAAACTTAAAATTTACAAATGATTTCAAATTACCATTTGGCCCTTGGCCACACTTCATGCATGATTAATGATACCTAGTGGAGGTGCCGGGACACACTTTACACCACCCGATTTGAAAATGATCCTTTGTTATAAAGCCATACTATCTTCGCGTTTTGTGTTTGTCTTGACTACGCGCTTCTTTCACCCTTATTAGAATCCGTTTTTGGCCAATTTTTGAATTCAGGTTTGAGGTTAAGTTAGGATTTTGGTAGGTCCTCTTTGGAGTTTAATGTTCATGGCGTTGTCCCCGACAAAACCCTGAAGTATTGTCGGATTCGGAACCGTTTCATTTTGGTGACTTTTGTGATTTTCATCTCAAATTGAGGTAGGGGATGTTTTAGGATTTTGTATGTGTTGTATTGGGTGTTTTGCATGATTATACAACTGAATTGCATGCCTTTTATCAAATCTAGAAAGTTAGTAATATTTATTTCTTTGTATAAGATTTAAAATTCTACTATAGTATCCGTCTAACTAGGTTTCCTATTTAATCACACAAACCCTATCTTCTATCTAGTTAGGTCATTTAAATTTTAGACTATAGTATCTGTCTAACTAGGTTTTCCATTTAGTCGTACAAACCCTAGTTTCCGGCTAAGTCATTTAACTTTCAAGCCTTAGCTTCCGTCTCGTTAGGCAAACAAGTTTTACTAAACTACTTTTGACCTAATTCTTATTACATTGGAGATACGTAGGTAGTCTAGGCAATCGTAGATTTGGTCTCTCCACTCTTATTTTTCAAAACTCTTTTCTTTTCCAAAATCATTCATTTGTCAAAAACTTTCATTTCTAATTATTTTTTATGAATATTTTCCTTTCAAACACTTTATTTTTCAAAATATGTTATCCTTTAGGAATGAAACATAGAGATAAAAGTAATATTGTCTTACAAATGTTGTGGGGTGCCTAACACCTTCCACATACATAACCAAACCCCTGAATCCATTAATATGGCACACATATTAGATGGTGATTATGTACACACATCTAGGGCCACACACACACTTAACCATAAGTGACCTAGTGTGATACCTTCCGAATTTCTAAGTGCGGATTGGCCAGGCCCACGTCCAAAGACTCAGGGATATCAGAAATAATCAGGTAATAGATGAACATAGAATGCAAGACAAATATAATAAAATAAATAATAAAGTTGAAAGGAAAACTAAATAATAAATAGTTAATAAAACCTTTGATACTAATACTCCAATTAAATCCAATAGATTATAAATCTCCAAAATACAACTCGGGAATACATATATCGAGGACCCCTAAAAAAATTTCATAACAAAAACATCGCCTACTGAAAAAATATCCTACATCGATGATACGGAAGAGTGAAGTTGAATAATCTCTGATTTGCACGAACAACTCTAAGATTGGTAATGCCAAGGACTTAAAAAATAAATAGTGGGTAAGACCCATAAACAAGTTCCTTCTACTACGACCCGATCAAAGAACCGATAATCAATACATCCTAACTAAATTCATGTTATATCTACATAGTCGATATATACATATATACACACTAAGACTCTCATTGGTAATAGGGCAGTCTCAACCGCGTAATGGGTATCTCTTGAAAAAATCGCACACGAGGTGGTCTAAAGTTCACCTTTTACAAGGGTATACACATATCCTATTCCAGCTACCCATCCAATCCGGTAATATACGCTTCAGTCCTAACCATAGATCCTGAGACCTCAAGCTCGTATCATGGCTCACATATATATATATATACACACACACACACAACATCAATAAATAAATGTCATATTTAACAACAACACAAGTAAAGTGTCATGACTTATTAGCTAGCCCACTTACATATTGATCCAACAAAAACCATATCTAACAATGGTATAAAATATCAAAGATCCTAACTTATTAGTTATCTCAATGATCACAATACATACAAGAATAAATCTCACCAAAGCTAAACAACAATAGCACAACAATTATAAATTATAATAGTTCAAGTCTAGAACAATAGATATGATAGAATCATGATTTAAAAATCATAATATTAACTACTTATATTTAACAATGATAAACAAATAATAAAAGAAAGATTGCATAACATTACTTTTTTGCCCTTTTTCTCTCTGGAATAGGCGATACGTGATCTAGGGTTTCCTAGGGTTGTTGAGGAAGAAAACGCTATGGAGAAGGGTCAACCCTCCTCTATTGTGGGTAGTGTCCCACCTTTGGTTGAGTCCTCCATTAATCGACCCTCATGGAGTTCTTTACTGATGAACTCTTCATCAGAAAGTTTTACACCTTTGACATATTATAGTGACAGTCGGAATAAAGAAGTCATTGATATTGATGATGAAGATATTGCGGAGGAATTGAAATATTGGGAGAATTCTATTGTGTGTTATGTGCTGGGAAGTAAACCGTATTTCCCATATTTTAAAACCTTTGTGTAGAAGCG